AAAAACAAAAAAAAAAAAAAAAGTTTAGTGCTGGAAAAAAAAACAAAAAACAAAATTCAATGTTGATAACTACTAGTAATGTCTAACACGTACATGAGGGCAGAGGTGTTCTCTGAATGGACTGGCTTGATATGCTCACAGTAAAAAGATAGGAAAACATATTCTAGCCAAATAGGGGGAACTGGTATTCGCCATGCTGTCTCCTACACCTCTAGGGGCTTCTAAGATGTTTGTAGTGCTGGAAAAAAAAACAAAAAACAAAATTCAATGTTGATAACTACTAGTAATGTCTAACACGTACATGAGGGCAGAGGTGTTCTCTGAATGGACTGGCTTGATATGCTCACAGTAAAAAGATAGGAAAACATATTCTAGCCAAATAGGGGGAACTGGTATTCGCCATGCTGTCTCCTACACCTCTAGGGGCTTCTAAGATGTTTGGGGGGAGCGGGGTGTGCTGGGCCCAAATGCCCTCACCGCCTGCAGCTTGTCCAGGTTGTCCAGCAGTACTCTCTCAGTGTGTCTGTAGGCCTTGGCCACCAGCAGTTTTGCTTCCTGTGAAGGAAGGGGCAGGTCTGTCATGAGAAAGGGCAAGGGCCACAGTTCAAAGACTCACAGCCAGTTCCAACACCAAAGTACAGGAAAGCAGCACAGGCTCAGTAACATGCTCCATCTTTCAGGATGCACAGCAGCAATGTCCTGCTTCCGCTGTCTGAGTTATACCCGGGTCAAGATACCCACCCACCAGCCACTATTCCCTATAGATGGCAACTGGATGGTCCTGTCCGCTGTGTCCGCACAGCCACTGAAGAGCACAAGCAACAGGAGCTGGCCCTAAACAGACCCAGGAACCTGCAGGCTCAGCTTGTAGGCTGTAGGGATCATGTGCACTGGGACTCTACCACTTGGTGAGCTTATCTGACACTCCTCCCAGTTCCAGCTCCATATCTATTCATTGAAACCATCTAGGCCCTCATCCAAGAGAACATACCTAACAGGTCAGAACCCAGGACAAAAAAACATCCACATCAGACCTGCAGTGGGTGCTCATCTGAGGGAGGGAGCTATCAGGTTCCTGTAGCAGTTCTAGATGCTCCTCCTGCATGGGCTGAGGAACAGTAGCAAGGCCCAAGCCCACTCACGTGGTCCATCATCTGCTGGAGGCCCTGGCTGAATGGACGCCGTCCAATGCCCACGAGGCCCTCTTGTGCCTCAGGGAAGGAGACAGGCCCAATGCTGGGTGCCATCCCGAACTGTTTTACCATGGAGTAAGCGATGCGGGTAACCTTCCTCAAATCGTCCTGGGCCCCTGGAGTTAAAAAGGGGGGGAGGGGTCCTACTTAGCTTTTTATTGCTATGATAAAATCCTCTGACCAAAATAAACTTGGGGAAGCTAGTGCTTATTTCACCCTACAGGTTATAGTTCATCATGGAGGGGAGCCTGGGCACAGGCTCAGGGCAGGAACCTGGAGGCAACAACTGAAGCACAAACCAGGAACTCTTTACTGGTTTACTGCCCTGGCCTGTGTTCCGCCTGCTTTTATACAATCCAAGACCACCTGCCCAGGGGGTGTGGGCACCACCCTCAGTGGGCTGGGCCTTCCCACATCAATTAGCAATTAAGAAAATGTTTCACAAATAGTTGGGTTTGGAGAGATGGCTCAGCAGTTAAGAACACTGGCAGTTCTTGCAGAAGACCTGGGTTCGAATCCCAGCACCCACATGGAAGCTAACTACTGTCCGTAACTCCAGTTCCAGGGGATCTGACAGCCTCTTCTGACTTCCATGGGCATTGCACAACACGGGTGCTCTTACCCACATACAGGCAATACATGTATACACATAAAATAAAAATATTTAAAAAAAAAGAAAATGTTTCACAGATAGGGCCACAGTCCAATCTGATGGAGGAAGTACATCACTGAGGCCCTCCTTTCCCAGGCGTGTCAAGTTGGCAAGTGAAGCTACTCAACGCAACGCAAGGAACATCCTGAAGAGTGCATACACGGAGATGCACCCAGCCCCCCGGCCATGCGTGCGTGCGTGTGTGCGCGTGTTGTGTGTTGAGTTCAGACGCTGGTTCTCTCCTTTCACCATATGGATCCCAGGGACGAAACTAGGGTCATCAGACTTGACAGCAAGTGCCTTTACCTGCTGAGCCATCTCGACCCCTCCTTGTTTCTGTTTCTTAAAGGGGAAACTTTAACTCTGAAGTTGACTGCTCAGGACACTAGCCTGGCTAGGTCTGTACTAGAGAAGCCCTGAGGCCTGAAGTCCCTATGGACATCCCATGGATGCTCTCATTTTATCCAGTTCTATGTAGCCACAACCAATAATTAACCAACCAAATATACTTACAGTCCTCATATATGTAAGTTTTAACGTAAGTACCCTAAAGCTGTTCCTAGCTCTAAATCTCCTCTGGGCACAGCTGAAACTACATCTGCACCACATACATCTTCCATGGGTTTCACCTACCACGTACACAGAGCAAAAGGGAGTGCTCTGACAATTCCACACCCTGAGGGCTGCCTCCTCACCAGAGGTAACCCTGCTGAAGGAGATGGCCTCAGCCGCACGGCCGCCCAGCGCCATGCACATCCGCTCAAACAGCTGCTCCTTGGTAAAGAGGTACTGGTCCCGAGGGAGCATCTGAGCAAAGCCCAGGGCTGCATTTGTTCGAGGTGCTATGGAGACCTGCAAAAGGCCAAGTAGCTGAGTCAGCAGGGAGCATGTGGCCTCAAAGTGAGAGAGAGGCTGTGTAAGACCTATCATCAGGGGGTACCAAGCAGCCAGGCAGGCAAATCCCATTCTTAAAAGAATTCTAACACCAGCCAGGCATGGTGGCACACACCTTTAATCCCAACCCTTGGGGGGCAGAGGCAGGTAAATCTTTGTGAGTTCCAGGCCAGCTGGGGGTACAGGGAGACCCTGACTCAAAAAGACAAAACAACAAAAAAAGGACTCTTAATACCAGAGATATGTGCTCCTTGGTAACATTATGTACACAGGAAGTCAGCATGACAGATCTCTTAGAAGCTGTTACAAGGTTCAAGGACAAACTTCGACTCCCAAGCCAGTTGACACTGACCCATAGGAAACTCCAGGATGCACCCAAGGAAGAGAGACCATCTCACTCTTGCCTTCTCCCCCCACAACCCAATGCTGGACATCTGACGAATGGCAGGACCACTGCTCCAACAGGCTACAAAGAAACTGCTGTATGTGAGGCAAAGTGAGTGGGCTGGTCCTGCACTGGCCCAGCTGCCTGTGTGATTGCTTGGCAGAGGACCACAGCAGTGCCTGAGAATCAAGGTAGAAGCTTGTGTTAACATTCAAAGTCAAGGCTTATAACTCAGTGGTAGAGAGTTTGCCTAACATGTTCAAGGCCCTGGGTTTTATCCCCAGCCTTGCCAAAAAAGAAAGGGAGATGATAAAGAGTGACTATTGGTCATGACCCCAATAACAGCCAGGTCAGCAAAAGTGCCTTTCACCATCACAGAATGTAAATATAAATGCTTATAAAATAAGCATTCTGAGAGTAAAACAAAATCTGAAGTTCTAACATTTGCTCACTATGGAATTTTCTGCAGTTGTCTGGATTTTTTGAGATATTACTTATCTCTGCTACTAAGTTCATTAGTGCCCAACTCACCTCATGCTGGACCTGCCCCTCCCCACACACCCTTAATCAGTGCTCAATATGCTACGGGGTAGCAGGTGGGAGTTAGCCTTGTGCTAGTTCCAGGAACACAGGACTGCTCTACTCCTCTTCAAACAGACTAGCCAATACAAATTCCCAAAGAAACCGTGCAGACCGAGCATGGGCGTATAGGCAGCCAGCTGTCTGCTGCATTGCCTAATTTCTGCTTGGGTAGAAGCAGCAGTGCCACAAAGTGCCTACAGGGCTCTTGCTCCTTGTCAGAGCCACTCAGGCCTCCCTGGAGGGTAAACCAGAGGCCACACTTCTTGTCCCACAGCCTTGGCTTCTCCCACTCAAAGGTCTTTAGGCACAGTTCGCAGAATTTCTATGAACTATATAAAAGAACCATTGGAAAGAGTAAATACTCATGAAGGTCATGACTACCCACAAGAGCAATTCTCCAATACAGATTTCAACTCATGGCCAGCATCAGCCATTCTGAACTGAAGCCAAGTACAGCTGTCCAAAAGGGGGAGGTGGGCAAGGACAGAGACCTTGGGCACAGGAGACTCTGCATCATGCCTGCTAACTGAGGTCCTGACTTAGATATAAGACTCAGGATCTACTCCTGCCTATGCCTCCTAGTTCCTTCTAGGGGCTATGGCCAGTGTCATGCCAAGTTGGTCATAGAATTTTCTCTCACGGAACAACACACCTGGTATTTCCCAAACCAATTTGGGCAAAGGCCTGTAGAACTCAGGCCTCTGTGCCCCCCTCTTTTATCACAACCTACCTTCATCACAGCTTCCGTGTGCTCCAGCAGCCAACCGACCAAGGCATGCCCAGACTCATGAAAGGCAACCACCTTCTGCTCTTCTTTGGAAAGGGTCTTGCTCTTTTTAGCAGTCCCTGAAGAAGCCAAGGACTGAGTTCAGGAACAGTATGTCTGGGAACCCTCCTGAGGCTCTCTTCTTGCCTGGCACTCAATTCTGCTTAGTTCTCCCACAGCCATCATTCCTGACAGCCAAATTCAAGGGAACTCTCAAGAGAGGAAATGGGGTGAGAGTGAGGAGCCATCAAAACAGTTCTTGAAGACGTTAGGAACTACTGACATTCTTCAACTTCAAAGAGCCCCTCCTCTAAGGCTGGAGAGATGGCTCAGCAGTTAAGAACACTGGCTGTTCTTGCAGAAGACATGGGTTCAAATCCCAACACCCACACGGCAGCTAACAACTGTCCGTAACTCCAGTTCCAAGGGATCCAACACCTTCTTCTGTCCTCTGCAGGCATTGCATGACACTGGTGCACTTACATACATGCAGGCAATACATGCACACACATAAAATAAAAAATAATAAAGCCGGACATGGTGGCACACACCTTTATAGTCCCAATACTTGGGAGGCAGAGGCAGGCGAATCTCTGTGAGTTCAAGGCCAGCCTGGTCTACATAGTGAGTTCCAGGCCAGCTGGGCCTATAGGGAGATCCTGTCTCAAAATGACCAAATAAATAAATAAATAAATAGTAAAATAAAAAATATTTTAAAAACAAGAAAAAATAAAAAGAGTCCCTCCTGGCCCTATGGGCAACTCTGGACAGGATTGGGAAGCTTCTAGTTCCAGCTTTCTGGTTCACAGTTCCCTCAGAAGTCCAGCAGCAGCTACAGTCTCTGCTATAGTGTTCTGGTTCTCAGCCTTCCCTCTATGAGCTGAGCACCTTTTACCTCAGGGGCAAGTCTGTTTAAGCGTCCCCTACTAAGCTTCTGGTAGTGTCAGTCACCATCCCAAACTTTGTAAACATGTAAGTTGTCATTTTGTGCATCTTGAACAGGAGATGCTAGAACCTCCTCCCCAATTGTTGCAGGCCTACAGACTCCTCAGAGACACACAGGTAGTGGCCATTGATCAGTTCAGCCAGGCTGGATGCAGGAGCGTGAGTTCAGACCCCCTGAACAAAAACCAGCCTTCAGTGTGGCCTGGTTAGGTTCCCTCAGAGGCAAGAGGGATTTGCTCTCACCATTGCATACAGATGATGCAGTGTCCTTTTAGGACTCTGTTTAATGGTCTATTGTTTGTTCCCACTCACTCTCTCCTGTGTTGATGCTACTACTGAAAGGTTGTCAACTCCCTTGTGAAAATAATGTCTCAGACAAAACAGTTTTAGTAAGATACGGGCAGCTTGGACCTTTCCCTCTGCTGGCTACTATGAAGAAACCAAATTCTGGACTGAAGAGATGGCTCAGTGGATTTGCAGAGGAACTGGGTTAGGTTTCCCAGCACCCACATGGTGGCTCACAACTTTGGTTCCAGGGGATCTAATGCCCTCTTCTGGCTCCAAAGGTACCAGGCATGCATGCGGTACATATATACATACATGCAAACAAAACAACAGTACACATAAAATAAAATAAAAAATAAAAAAAGAATTCCCTTTAAAAAAGGAAAGAAATCAGGCTCTGCACCAGGCAGGCCAGCTGCTGTCTACCCATTCCCTCAATGAGTTTATTCAAATCAATGAGCTCCAGGTTCAGTGAGAGACTTTAATGAGATGGAACTTCAGGTAAAGGTACTTGTGGCTAAGCCTGACAACATAACTTTGATCCGAGACCTATGTAGTAGAAGAGAACTGACTTCTGCAGGTGGCCCTCTGACCATACATGTCCTACAGAGAGGGAGGCCTGAGCTCCTCTGACGGCTATGGCAAGGGAGGATCCTTGAACGTGCTCTGCCTGTCTAGGCTGACACTACCCTTCTCACCCCCAAACAAGGAAGCCGATGATGGGTGTGCAGCCTGGGTCTGTGGAAGGTCAGTTGTGCCTGCTTCACAAGCATCCATAGACCCACTTTCAAAAGCTGTTGGCTAAGCCCCATGCTTTTATTACCAAGATGCAGCTCCCATCTTGTTGATGACCAGAGCCATGTGTTTCAGAAGAGATGGGGTCAGCAACAGACTCACCTCTCTCCCAAGAGCCCTACAGGTATCCTTAGGGGGTAGCACCCTCTACCTACAAACTCAGGTGGTTGTACCTCAATGATCCAAAGTAGACTGATCTCAGCCACCTCATGAGGCTAAGATAAATTCTGCCACACCTGGGGGTGTAGGGAGCTTTTATCATTTTGTGAGACAGTGTCTCATGTAGCCCTGGCTGGCCTGGTGTTCACTACATAAATGAGGATGACCCTAAACTTCTGATCCTCCTCTACATCCCAAGTGCTGGGATTACAGGTGTGTATCAGTATGCCCAACTTGAAGGTATTTTTATACTTTTTTGAGGAGCAAATTACTTAGGTAAATCTTCAATATCTCAAGTGGAGGAAAAAAAAAACAATTCCTTCTACTTACGTAACAACAGGACGTTAGAGCCTGGGTCTAGTCCCACCTACCCGACCCTAGCCTGTTTGGTGTGGCTGGTCTCTAACTGGGTGTCTCAGAGATTCACTCTAACAAGGCCTTAACAAGGGGCAGGGTCTTCATACCAGCAATGACGCGCTCCACGGCATACTCAAAGTTGAACGTGTGGACGGATGTGTACCCCTCCCGTGCAGCGTGCAGTGCAGCCTCGTTGCAAATATTGGCAATGTCGGCACCTGTCAACACAAACCACAGGCAAGGGTGGTGCTGGCTCTCTCCTGTCAGCATTTAGAAGGAACATGAAGGAGGCTCTCAACTTTCAAGGAAGACAGCAAGCTGAAAGAACCAGGAGTGGCACAGTGTTGGGGACCCCTGCTGTCTAAGGCAGCAGTCTCTATATGTCTGGATAGCCGCAGGCCGGCTCGGCGCGAATGCAGGGACTCCCTTTCTCAGCTGGGTGCCTTCCTACTCTCTTCCTGACTCACCTTTCGAAGTGCCCGTCACAGATACATATCCTCCGGCATGAAACTGCCAGGTTTTCCTGTGTGATAATCAGGCAATGTCTGACAGCCTGGCAGAAGCCCACCACCACGTGTAAATAGGGCATCCTACAAAGCACCTATCAACTAAGGCTTTTGCTACTGCCACCACACTTTAAATATCCTGGTTTCCCCTAATTAATCAGAGCTGAATCACTAAGACCTGGTCACTGAATAAAGGAGCTGTACCTGACTGAGCTGTATCCTGTGTCTTACTGCCTACGATTCAGTCTCTCCGGAGGGGGCTGTCCCTTCATAAACAACTCGCGAAGATCCTGCTTTCGCCATTCTTGCACCTCCCCTCGTGACCCGGTGGCCAACGGATTGCGAAACCTAGAGGGAGTGCCCAGTAGCTTGGAACGGAACTTGCCTGGAACTCGCCTGGAAGCGCAGCGACCACTGAGTCGCCAGCATCCAGTAGCCGTGGAGAGCCAGGGACCCGAGCAGCAACGCGGTGCGGGGAACCCGCCCATAGCACAGGCCTAAAATCTAGTACTGAGGAGGCTGAGGCAAGAGGATCACAAGTTTTCTACACAATGAGATCTGGTCTCAAACAAAAACAAAGAAAAGGAACGGGGGAGGGAGGGAGGAGGGAAAAGGAGCCAGGAGGGAACGGTGGCAGAGCAGGGAGGCTGGAGGCAGGCCATCAGTACTGTTCACGGAAGCAGCTGGCTGAGGCTCAGCAATGGCCCTGCAAAAGTCCTGCCTGCTTCTGTGCTGTGCTTTATGCCACCTGGCACTTCATGTGCACAGATGAGTAAGAATGAAGAGCACTCCTGTCTACAAATTCCAGTTAAGATATGAAGGATAATCAAGAAGGAAGGAATGATAGCCGAAGAGGAATTTTGTTTTTATTTTTATGTTTTGAGACATGGTCTCACTTTGTAGCCCAGGCTGCCCTCAAACTCATAGCAGTCCTCCTGACTCAGACTTCCAAGTACTAAGATTATAGGCATGAGCCACCGCATTCACTTTAAGGGCAAGAGCAACTTGGTGTGGGGGGTTTCTTTTTGAGACAGGGTCTCTCTATAGCCCCAGACAGCCTGGAACATACTATGTAGACCGGGCTGGGTTTGAACTCACAGAGATCCACCTGTCTCTGCCTCTGCCTCCCGAGTGCTGGGACTAAAGGTGAGTGCCACCATAACCAGCAAGAGCAATTTTTAATGTACATTAATCTTTAAAATGAGAGCTATCCTCAAAGCATGGTGATGCAAGCCTTTGACCTCAGCAGAGACAGATAGATCTGCTTAGCCTACATAGAAAGCTCCAGGCCAGCTAGGACAACATAGTGAGACTCTATCTCCAAAGAACAAGGGGGAGAGAGAGAACTATTCAGAACAACAAAAAAGCTTGCTTTGTGATTTCTACTTGGCTGACAATACAAGGTCTGTGAGGAGGAGGAGGCCTGTGGCATTCTGAACTGGAAGGTGTTCTCTGTGTAAACACAACAGTGAGGACACAGGAAGCCTACCTCACAATGCTCCAAAGGTAGAAGCTCTGGGGTTGCCATGAGATACTGCTGGGGACAAAGACATCACAACTACTACCCGTGATGCCAGCATGGACCACAGAACCACTGCTGTCCCTACCACTGGGGAGGAGGAGGGTCTCTCTTTTCTGTCCTTCTGCTGCCTGCATATGCACTTGATTCCACCTAGGTCTGGACTGACTACGGCCCCAGAACAGGCTAAGCCCTCCCCCAATGAAAGTGCTTAAGGCTAAGGGTCAGCAACATACCACTGAATCCTGGTGTCAGTTCCGCCAGCCTCTGAGAGTAAAAGCTACTGGGCTGGGTCAGCTTCAGGCCTTTCAGGTGCTGCTCGAAAATCTCCCGCCTCTCCTGACACAAAGGGGAAAGATACTATTGAACTCACAGCAGGCTAAGAACACACACACACACACACACACACACACACACACACACACAAACACACAGCAGCCCTGAGAATGAAACCCTGCTAGGGAACCACAGAAATCACTGGCTTTATCAAGCTCAACCTTCTCAGTACCAGCCATAGCTTGGAAGCCAATTTAGAGAGTTGCAAGCAACAGTTTAAAGACAATAAATGTGACAGAATACAAATAAAACATATCACATGGAGCAAAGATTCCACAAAGCTCTCCATGACACACATACTGCAGGTACTGGATCTTGACACAAAACACATGACATCATCAAGAAACAGTCAGCTCTTCTTGTGTGGAGCAGCCCCTCCCCACACCTCTGGTGAGTAACGTTAACCAACTACCCAGCCGCTTGGCTTTGATTCCCATCTTCCCACCACACAGGCCCTCTACCCACACTCTTCATTCCTGCTCTCTATCAGGGCTGTGGATCACACAGCACAACCAACCAGAGGCTTGTGAGGAAGAGGCTATCAAGGGCAGAAAATCATGATTTCCAGGATTTTTACCCCATACCACTTCCAGGGCAAAGCCAAGTGTAGTTGAGAAAAGTGGGATGGCCAGGCATGGTGGCACACGCCTTTAATCCCAGCACTCGGGAGGCAGAGGCAGGTTGATCTCTGTGAGTTCTAGGCCAGCCTGATCTAATAGAGAACTCCAGGCCAGCTGAGGTTACAGAAGACCCAGTCTCAAAAAGACCAAAACGGACGGACGGAAGGAAGGAAGGAAGGAAGGAAGGAAGGATGGATGGGGCTGGAGAGACGGCTCAGTGTTTAAGAACACTGACTGTTCATGCAGAAGACTCAGGTTCGAATCCCAACACTACAATTGTCTGTAACTCCAGTTCCAGGGGATCTGACAGCCTCTTCTGTCCTCTGCAGGCATTGCATGACATGGGTGTACTTGCTTACATGCATGCATAACACTCATACATATAAAATAAAAATAAATATTATACAGCCAGCAGTACTCACTACCTCACTAATTGAGGAAGGTCGGTTCCAGGCCATCTGGGAGTAAAGGGAGATTTTTCTTTTTTTCTTTTCTGGAGCCGAGGACCGAACCCAGGGTGCTCGATAGGCAGGCACTCTACCACTGAGCTAAATCCCCAACCAACCCCGAATTTTTTTCTTTTTTAAAGAACCGTACCTAAGGGAGGGAGGGAGGGAGGGAGGGAGGGAAGGAAGGAAGGAAGGAAGGAAGGAAGGAAGGAAGGAAGGAAGGAAGGAAGGAAAAGCGGGATGACAGGATGGAGAGATGGCTCAGCAGTTAAGAGCACTAGCTGCTCATGTAGAAGACATGGGTTCAATTCCTAACACCCACATAGTGGCTAACAACCATCCATAACTCCAGTTCCAGGGGACTGAAGCCCTCTTCTGGCCTCCTCAGGCACTGCATAACATAGGTGCACTTACATGCAGGTAATACACTCATACACATAAAATAAAAATAATAAGCTGGTAGCTGGAGAGATGGCTCAGCAGTTAAGAACACTTGCTGTTCTTGCAGAAGACCCGGGTTTGAATCCCAGCACCCACATAGCAGCTAACAGCTCCAGGGGATCCAACAGCCTCTTCTGTCCTCCTAAGGCATTGCACAACATGGGTGCACTTGTCTACATGCAGGCAATACACACATACACATAAAAATAATAAATAAAATATTTAAAAAAATAATAATAATAAGCTGGGCATGATGGCACACACTTTTAATGCCAGCACTTGGGAGGCAGAGGCAGGTGGAGTTTCAGGCCAGTCTGGTCCTCATAGCAAATTCTAGGCCAGTTGGGGCTACAGGGAGACCCAGGGTCTCCCTGTAGCCCCAGCTGGCCTGGAACTCACTATGTAGACCAGACTGGCCTTGAACTCACAGAGATCCGCCTGCCTCTGCCTCCCAAGTGCTGGGACTACAGGTGTGCACCACCACACCCGGCTATAAATATTTTTTAAAAAAAAGAAAAGCAGGATGAGCCAGGCACGGTGGCATGTGCCTTTAATTCCAGCACTTGGGAGGCAAAAGTAGGTGAATCTCTGTGAGATCAAGATCAGCCTGGTCTACACAGCGAGTTCCAGGCTAGCTGGGGCTACAGAGAGACCCTGTCTCAAAAAACTTAAAAAATAAGAGAAAGACAAAGGAAGAGGCAGCAGGACAACAAGACTTTCTACAAAGCTCAAGATGGGAGAGAGACATTTATTTTGGTTTGAATTAAGTTACTATAAAACTCAATCCAGACCAATTCAGTCAACCCGAAACATTCAAAGATGAAGACAGAGCAACAGTGAGCAAACTTAACCACACTGTGAACCCAAGACGACACTGGGCAAGCCAAGTACAGGGCCCGATGGCTGTGATTCCAGCACTCAAGAAGCCGAAGCAGAAGGATCAAGAGTTGAAGACCTGCCTGAGCTACATAGCAAGACTGTCTCAAAAACAAAGCAAACAAGCTTGGAGTGGTGGCACACGCCTTTAGTCCCAGCACTCGGGAAGCAGAGGCAGGCAGAGCTCTATGAGATCCAGGCCAACCTGGTCTACATAGCAAGTTCCAGGCCTGCTAGATATACACAGTGAGGCCCTGTCTCAAAATAATACAAAATACTGAAGAGATGGCTCAGAAGTTAAGAGCACTTACTACTCTTGCAGTGGAACCAGGTTCAGTTCCCAGCACCTACATCAGAGGGTTCATAACTGCCTGTAACTCCAGCTCCAGGAAATCTGACACCCTCTTCTGGTCTTCAGGGGCATCCATACACATGGCATACACTCAGACAGACAGACATAAATAAAAACAAATCTTAAGCAAAACAAAACAAAAAAACAGAAAAAGGACTTTGGGCATCATGGTATCCAAAGAGCCAATGTGGGCCCCAGAGGCCATAGCAGTCTCACACCAAGGCCTTCCTGGAGGGAAGGACCATGACAAATACAGGGCCAAACCTGGGTGGCCCTGGCAGGGGAGGAAGGCTGTGGCCTAGGCCACGCTCACCATGCTGCCCCATTAATCTTAGAGGTTCTGACCTGAAGAGTAGGAAGATCAATGAAGACATGCCGGTCAAGTCGGCCAGGCCTCATCAGAGCATTATCCAAAACGTCAGCTCGATTCGTGGATGCCAAGACAATGACGTGGTCTGTAGTGCCCATTCCTGAGAGGACAGAGCAGACACAATACCTTTGGGATGGGGGTTCTTCACAGTGGCTTTTCCCAATGGCCCCCTTTAGGACAGGGGGCAAGAATGGAGGCCCAGTGAGAAAAGAACACCGTTTCCTTCTAGGCAAATGAGGTGGAGACACCCTCCCAATGGCTTCCAACTAAAACAACAGCAGCTCCCTTGGCCATCTGTGGAGGCAGAACTGTCAAAGCCCCCCTAGAGATGCAGGTGGCGGCCCTGGAAGAACACTGAAACTTTGTCCTATTGATGAGTTACTGTTCCCTGCAACTGCAGCCATTTTTAGTGTGGTATCTAAACACTTTAATACCTGTGTTCAGACCTGAGGTTTCTATCTAAGAAATGTGGGAACCTTAAGTAGATTTGACCTGGGTGGGGGGCAAGGGACCAACTATACAAACAAGTTTATAAAGAAGATGGAGACAAGGCTGGAGATGTGGGCTCTTGGCAGAGTGCTTGTCTAACATGCAGGAAGCTCTGTGTTCAGTCCTTAGCACTGTAATACTAGTATTCAGGAGAGGGAGGCATGAAGGTCCAAAGTTCAAGGTCATCCTCAGCTACATACTGAAGTCAAGGCTAGCCTGGGATGCATGAGAACCTATCTCAAAACAACAGCAAAAACAATCCAGGATCATGTCCTCCAGTCCACACTTCAGACTTGACAAGCCAGGTCAATTGGACAACCATCCACTGACCTTTAGAGAACAGAGAGAGGCAGAAGGTCAACTTGCCAAAGTCAAGGGGATGCCTTCAAACAATGCTGATTTTTGAAATGAGCTTAGATTCAAAGAGGCACCACAGACAGGCCTTCTGCATAGTCCTAAGAGTCTTCTGACACCTGAGCTGTTAGAAGAATGATACTGACAAATAGAGAAAGGCTGGAGGCTGGACAGAGTGGGGCAGTTAAGAGGAATCCACATAGTACATCTCAAGTCCTGCCTGAAGACCTGCCCGGCTTCATGCTCACACTTCTCTTATTTAATTTTGTCTTTTTTTCTCCCCTTTCCTCTGATAGGGTCCCATTATATAGCCCTGAGTTGCCTAGAACTCCCTATGTATACCAAGCTGGCTTCAGACTCGGAGATCCACCTGCCTCTGCCTCCCTAGTGCTGGGATCAAAGGCAGGCATAAGCCACCACACTCAGCATGATCAGATTTCTTGAATGTCTTCCATTCACGTGCCACGGAATTCTGAAATACACAGAAAAAAGTGTGCCAGGTCACAGATTCAGTTGTCTATTTGACACATGTGGGAAGAGGAAATGCCCATTGGGGAATTTCCTCTATCAGACTGGATTGTGGGTATGTCTGTGAGGCATTTTCTTAATTATCGTGTGATGAGGGAGGGTCCGGCCCACTGTGGGTGGTGTCACCCCTAGGCAGGTGGTCCTGGGTTGTATAAGAAAGCAGGCTGAGTTCAGGCCAGAAGAGCAACAGTAAGCAGCATGCCTAGGGGTAGCCTGTGCTTCAGCTCCTGCTTCCATGTTCCTGCCCTGCCTCGAGTTCCTACCTTGACTTCCCTCAGTGATGGGCTCTCACTTGGAAGAGTAAGAGGAAATGAACCCCTTTCTCTCCAAGCTGGTTTTGCTCAGTGTTTTATCACAGCAATAGAAAGCAGACTAATACATCTGTAATCCCAGCTATTTGATAGGCTGAGGCAAGAGGAGAAGTTCAAAGCCACCCAAGCAACTTAGTGAGAGCTTGCCTCAAAATAAAAAATAAGGCAGCCAGGCATGGTGGCATATACTTGCAACTCTAGCACTGGAAAGGCTAAGAGATCAGAAGCTCAAAGTCAGAGCTGGAGAGATGGCTCAGCAGTTAAGAACACTGGCTACTTCTGCAGAGGACCTGGGTTTGGTTCCCAGCACCCACGTGGTAGCTAGCAACTATCCATGGGTAACTCTAATTCCAGGGGATCCAACACCCTCTTCTGGCCTCTGCAGGGCATTGCACTACACAGGTGCAATTAGATGTAGGCAAAACATTCATACACATAAAATACAAAAAAAGAAAAAAAAGTTCAAGGTGGTCCTAAGCTACACAGGGGGTTCAAAGCCACTCTAGGCTATATGAGACCCTGTTTCAAAATACAACAGTGCTGGGGATATGGATCAGTGAGTAAAAGCACTTGTGCAAATCCGAGGACCTGAGTTCAAACCCCCAGAACCCATGCAAATGCCAGACACACAGCATGAGCTTCTGTAATCCCAGTACTCCTACAGGGAAATGGGAGGTAGAGGCAGAATCTCTGAAGCTCTCAGGTCAACTAACCTGTCTCAAATAAGGCAGAAGGTAAGAACAGCAGGGATCGTCCTCTGACTTCTACACAGTGCACACCTGTATTTTTACATACACAAATAAAATGAAAAAAATGTAAAGGCACAACAAAAAAAAGAGAGCTGGCAATATCGCTAGCTCAGTGTTAGAGACTTAACCAGCATGAATGGAGACTGTGGATTCGGGTCCTAGCACCACAAAAGAGGAGGGAGGGAGGGCAACACTGAAGTGCCACAGCTGACTCAGATCTCATCACTTCTATAAATACTTTGTGCATTCCACACAATCCTGTATGAATTCAGAGACCCACAATCTAGTCAAGACACGAAAATGCCTTCAGCCTCTTTACAGACCTTTCCCAACTTGACCACAACATGTTCTCTATCTCTAAAACACTATCATTTTGACAGCTGTACAGATGGAAATTTGGAACATAAGAAACACTCTCAAGATCTATCTAAGCTGCTCAGGTAGGAAGTTCTTTTTTTTTTTTCGGTCTTTTTGTGACAGGGTCTCCCTGTAGCCCCAGCTGTCCCGGAGCTCACTGTGTAGACCAGGCTGGCCTTGAACTCACAGAGATCCGCCTGCCTCTGCTTACTGAGTACTGGGATTACAGGCGTGCGCCACCACACCCGGCAGGAAGTTCCTTCTTAGCTGCACAGTAAGGCTGGGAAATTCGTTTAGTTATTCACTCACTCGATACCTGTGTTGCTGCTACTAGAGATAAAGGAAAATTTCAGACAGGGTGTCCTGTGAGTGTGCTCCTTTCTCTAGGATAAGTACCAAGAAAGGTACATACTACTAGGGTCACAAAGGAAGTATATGTTTAGTCTCTACAAAAACTGCCAGGCTCCCCCAGGGGCATGACTTGACATTCTCACCAGCAAGTCAGCACTGAGTGGAATCAGAATGCTACTGTGTAGCTACCCTACTAGGTATGTGTTTCCATAAGAATCTCAGCAGGAGCCAGGCATTGGTGGTAGTATAGCACCTGGGAGACAGAGGCAGGTTGATCTCTGGGAGTTCTGGGCCAAGCTGGTCTACATACCAAGTTCCAGGCCAGCTAGAGCTATGTGAGAACCTGTCTCAACGGCATCATCACCAAAAAATAAAGGGCTGGAGAGATGGCTCAGTAGTTAAGAGCCCTTGATGTCCTTCCAGAGGATCAGGTTCAGTCCCTAGCACCAGATAGCAGCTCCTAACAGCTTGCACGTATGTGATGCTCATACATATACTCAGGTGTGTACACACATATATGTAAAATAAATAAATCTTTTAAAACACCTTGGGGCTAGAGCAATGGCTCAGTGGTTAAGAATGCTGTCTGCTCTTCCAGAGGACTGGGATCAGTTCCTAGCACCCATATAGCAGCTCACAACCACCTGAAATTCCAGTTGCAGAATTAACACCTTCTGGCCTCCACAGCCCCCTGCAACCACAGTACATGATGCATATATAAATTTACACAGGCATATACACATACACATAAAGTAAATAAGGTCTGGGTGTAGTGGCATATACTTCTAATTCTAGCCCTTGGGAGGCAGAAAGGTAGGTGAAACTCTGTGAGTTCAACACCAGTCTGGTGGATATAGCAAGCTCCAGGTTAGCCAGGGCTACATAGTGAGGCCCTGTCTCAAAACAAAACAAAAACAATTAAAACAAACAAAAAAGCAAAGGCTGAACTGAACATGGTGGCTCAATGCTTATAATCCCAACACGTGGGAAGGGGAGGCCAGGAGGATGAATAGTTCAGGGCCCACCTTTGCAACACAATGAGTTCCAGGCCAGCCTGGGCTACATGAGACCTGTCCTCAGAAGTCTTAAAAATTTTAAAAGCCTGACATGGTAGCTCATGTCTTTAATCCAAGCATTCTATAGGTAGAGGCAGGTGGATATCTGTAAGTTCCAAAACCCGCCTGGTCTATATACAAGTTCAGTCAGCCAGACCTACCTTGTCTCAAAAAAAAAAAAAAAAGCCAGGCACAGTAATGCATTCCTGTAATCAATCCTCAGCACTCAGGAAACAGAGGCAAGAGAATTGTCACAAGTTTGAGGCCAGCTTGGACTACATAATGAATTCTAGGTCAGCTAAGGAATATATATCAAAACCCTGTCTTGGGTGGGCGTGGTACACAAGCCTTTAATCCCAGCACTCTGGAGGCAGAGGCAGGTAGATCTCTATATCAAGGTCAACCTGGTCTACATATCAGCCACTTCCCAGACAGCAGTTTCTCTCAATCAGGTGTGCACTTCTAACTCTAGGTCATGGCAGGGTCCAGAAGCTGTGTTTTGCCTAGAGTTGGCTCCCAGCAAGACCAGTGCTGCTGTCTGGGGCACATACTGAGAGCCACTGGTGCTATCCATATGCTCTCAAACCTGGCATCACCCAAGCCTTGCCACAGTCTGACCTAGGTACTAGTCTGCCTAGTACCACCTAGCAGCCTAGGTGGTACTACTTTGCTGGGAGAGTGTAACACAACAGATGGGGCCCAGGCTGTGTCTGTTTTGTTATCTACTCACCTGGCAGAGTTATGAGGCATTCCAAAGTCTGCCAGGACAGAACTGTGAAAAACACTGCTACTGTGAGGACTGGACTGCCTAGATGCACAAGGGCTGGTGAACTGGCTCAGTGGTAAGGATGCTTGCCACTGAGTCAGACAACCTGAGTTCAACAATCTAACCTAAGTTCAATACCCAGGACCCACATAGTGTGAGAGAACTGACCCCTGAAAATTGTCCTGACTTCTATACACACATACTGTGGCATGCATACACCTATCTCACCCTCCCACGAAAATAAAATGTTATTTCCTCAAAAAAGGCTGGTCTACACAGCAAGTTCCAGGTCAGCTGAGGCTACAGAGAGGTCCTGCCTCAAGAAGAAAAGAAAAACAGCAAGAAAGCAGGCACTTCTTGGAGTTGTGGTATGCTCTGCTGTTCCGTCCTGTTTGCTTGTTTGTTTTCTGAGATAAGGTCTTGCTATATAAGCCATACTGGCCTCAAACTCATGATCCTCCTGCCTCAGCCTCCTGCTTTCTCCTCCAGTTTTTCTTTCCAGTTTTTGATCTAACCAAGGGTTTTATGGACAGTAAACAAGAACTCTGCCACTAAGCCACTCCCTATGCCCTGCCAGGATTTTCTGACTCCCATGTGGAATCAGAGTTCACATTTCCCCATTTCTGTTTCCCCAAACAAGGGCTTAGACAGATGCCGCAGCAGGACATTCACGTATAAAAAGTCACTGTGTGGTGATCAAGTGGGCAGGATGGTGCTCTCTCACCTCAGTCCTTGTATAGCCTGATAGTCCACAGACACCCAAAGCACCTGTGCTAAGGTCTCTGCGACAGGGATTTCTCTTTGCCTTGGTGAGTTTTTCCCACAACGAGCACAACATCTGCTCAACTCCCTCCTCTGTACTCAATGAACAGAAACTGCTCTTCCTGAGACGACAACAAAGATTGGCCTCAGAGCATCTGAAGGGCCCAGTGTGCACAGCTGTTGAGAGCACAAAGGGACCTCTTAGTGCTGCCTTTAGCAGTGGGTTCTCAGTCACACCAAGGGGACAAGCAGCTATTTCTATGGTAGTACAGAGAAGTTTGGCTTAGGAAAAAGTCATGCTTTCTAGTAGGCTCAAGTCTCCTAAAAAAGAAGGTCTGTCTTTAAGTGGGAAAAGCAACACAGACAGAACAAAACCACTCCCCTCGACCCTGTGGAGTGACACAGGAGTGGTCTACCCCGTGTCATTGAGGGAGCACACTGGTTAACTGATTTCCTTTTCATTCCAGCTTAAATGTTATAAAACACATTTAAGGCCAGGCATGGTGGTACACGCCTTTAATCCCAGCACTCGGGAGGCAGAGGCAGGAGGATCCTCTGTGAGTTCGAGGCCAGCCTGGTCTACAGAGTGAATTCCAGGCAGCTGGAGCTACAGGGAGACCCTGTCTCAAAAAGACCAAAAAAAACCAACAAAAAACAAAAAAAAACCCCACCGCATTTAAGCCCTTATTTAAATAAAACACATCTTTTAAATTTTATGTATTTATTTTTATGTGTATGAATGTCTTGACAGTAGGTATGGAAGTGAATCTGTGTGTGCAGTACCTGTGGAAGCCAGAAAAGGGTGTCAGATCCCCTGGAACTAGAGTTAGGGGCAGTTGTTAACCACCATGTGGGTGCTGGGAACCAAACCTATGTCTCCTTAAGAGCAGGCAGTACTCTTAACCACTGAGTCATCTCTTTAGCCCCCGATAAAACATAGCTTCAAGGGAAGGGCCTCCACGAAGCCACACAACATCCTAACGTCCACAGGTACATGGCCTCCACCAAGGACAGGTGTGAGCATCACTCTACCTTCATCACCAGCAAAGTGTAAAAGGGTCAGGGTCATATGAAAACTTTCCTTTGTCTAGTAGGTGTCACAAAGTTGAGTCTGGCACCATGCCAGTCTAGGGACTATGTCATGCTAACTGGGAGACCTGGGCATGTTTGCACCATACAGCCCAGCCCATCACTGCCCTCTACCTTCCCTCAACCTGCTGATGGTCAAAAATCCCTGTGGCCAAAACTTAAAACTGTCTTCTAAATTTCTTTACTAGTTCAAGCAACCTCTAGAACCTAGTCAAAACCACTGACACATGCCACCTGAAGGACAACCTACAGATGCTGAAAGGACCAATCAGGTAGGAGACTCTAAACATCCTTTCTGAATGAGAACAACCACTGTCTGAGAAGTAGATCCCAGCAGAGCTGAGCCCAGCACTTATTCTTCCCAGCATGTGGTGTCTAGCTGGAACCCAAGTCCCTAAGCATGGTCTGATAGTGTCCTGAGAAGGTCCCTAGCAGCCCCCTGCTCTTAACAGCAGCATCTCAGAACTGGAGCCCTTCCACCCACATCTTCAAAGGCATTCTAAAAATCGGACTATGAGCACATGCTGTTCAGTGTGTAAAGCAGCTGTTCTGGATTCTGTTGCTCCTTAGGCTCTGAACAGTATCCTGACAGATGATGACTGGATGACAAAAAGGACAGGAAACAGGAGGGGCGTGGGGCAGCTCCAGATGCAGCCATTCTTATCTCAACAATGAAGCCTTTCCTCACCATTGTTAGAATGATCCTTTGATTTTTCTCTTTTTTCTTCTTTTTTTTTTTTTTTTTGGTCTTTTTGAGACAGGGTCTCCCTGTAGCCCCAGCTGGCCTGGAACTCACCAGGTAGACCAGGCTGGCCTCGATCTCAGAGATCTGCCTGCCTCTGCCTCGAAAGTGCTGGGATTAAAGGCGTGCACCATCATGCCTTGGCGTCATCCTTTGATATTTATTTATTTATTTATTTATTTATTTATTTATTTATTTATTTATCTCTTGTGTATTGCCTGCATGTATGTGTGTGCACCAGTATCGTGCAATGCCTCGGAGGTCAGAAGAGGGCTTCGGATTTCCCTGGAACTGGAGTTAAGGACAGTTCGTAGCACCATGTGGGTGCTGGGAACTGAACCCGGGTCCTCTGCAAGAACAGCCAGTGCTCTTAACCGCTAAGTCATCTCTCCAGCCCCCAATCCTTTGATTTTTAAACCCATAGAGACTTCACGGTTCATGAAAATGCTTCAAACATGTACCAGTCATCTGACACCATAATAGCTAAGGAGTGAACATTTGTTTACTGTGTGTGTGTGTGTGTGTGTGTGTGTGTGTGTGTCTGTGTCTGTGTGCAGATGTTTGTACCCATCCATGGAGGCTAAAGCAGGACATCAGGTGTCCTCCTAAGGAGTGAACGTTTGTTTACTCTGTGTGTGTGTGTGTGTGTGTGTGTGTGTGTGTCTGTGTCTGTGTCTGTGTGCAGATGTTTGTACCCATCCATGGAGGCTAAAGCAGGACGTCAGGTGTCCTCCTCGATTGCTTACCACCTTACTGTCAAGACAGGGTCTCTCACTGATCCTGAAACTCGAAATTTTTCAGTTAGACTGACTGACCAGAAAGCTCCAGCAACTTTCCTGTCTCCACTCTACCCAGCACTGGGGATACAGGCATATACATGGATAGAGATCTGAATTCATGTTTTCATGCTTACATAGCAAGCAATCTTACACACTGAGCCATCTTCCAAGATCCAAGAGGTAGACACTTGTCTGTGGATCCAGGTAAAACCTGAATGAGGAAGGAGCTGGGCCCTCTCCAGAACCTACCAAGGATGTAATGCCTCGGCACTGAGAGCCTTGAGGAGCAACAATGCTCCTAAGTACACACCTCACTTGACCCTGAGGACATATCACAGTCCTAAAAGATGTCTTTAACACAACTGGCCAGCAAAGAATGCTACAATTTCAAAAGACTGATGGAAACCAGGAGCCAGGACCACTGCATGGGCTGCTGAGGCTGCACTGGGCCTGGACAAGGGCAGTGGAGCCCAAGTGTTACCACCTCCTCGTCTGGCCAGTATAAGGAACAAAAAAACTGAAGAGACTGACGAAAGCTAGTCAGGTATAAACACTTTCCTACCACTGCTAGAGATTTCCCTTTGACTTGTAGTCAGAGCTCTGCAGTACGTGCCCACTATAGTTTTCTGCTCCCAACAAAGAGGAGCACTTAACAGAGATACATGTCTCTCATCAAGTAAAACCAAAAATTCCTTGAGAAGAACACCTCCATGATCTACAAACCTAAAATCCACAATTCTAATTGGAGAAGAGTTAAACATTGAGCCTTAAGCTGGGCGTGGAGCCACATATTGTAAATCCTATCACTCAGAAGGCTAAGGCAAGAAAATCTGGAGTTTGAGGCCAGCCCTAGACTGCACAGTGAAACCACATCTCACAAATAAACAAAAATAGAAACAAAACAAAAAGGTTAAAATTGTCAATTTAACCACAATAATATCCACATCAAATAAAACCAAACCAAAACCAATACACACACAAATGATGAGATGGTTCATCTGGCAAAGGTACTGGTTGTCCAAGCCTGATGACCTGAATTTGATCCCAGGACCCATATGGTAGAAGGGCAGAACCAGCTCATTCAAGTTCTCTATAGATTTCCATATGTATACACATTCTCCCCAACACAAATAAAATAATGAGTCTTATAGAAATAGCTCAAAATAAAACAAGGTCCATCTCCCTAGTAGGCCTCTATGTTATGAGAAAAGCAGCAGTGCTGAGGCCAGTCCAGGAGTCTCCACAGTCAGACACAGGCACCCTTGCTGTAATAGAGTCCCAACACCCTGCTCAACCTTCCCTGCTATGTCAAAGGCCCAGTAACATATGACAAAGCAATCAAGGGGCCTTGGAGGCCTTACTGCTAGCTGTCGCCAGTTACAATTCTGGCTTTCCTTTGCTCAGTCTTGACTACTGATTAAGAGCCGAGGTTCACTGATCAGTGCTTGCCTGGCATACATGGGGCACTAGGTTTAATTTCCAGTACAAAAAAAAAAGAAAAAAGAACTAAAGAGCTGAGTTTCTTAAAGGCAATCAGGTGATGGGACAGTCCTTAACCTAGAATATTCTCTGTGTAATGTCCTCACTAGGTCAGGGATAGACAGCAACACACAAGTGAATGAGGAAAATAATACTTCTGTAAGAGCTCTCCCAGATGTCAGAACAGAAAATGTGACCAGAACTGTCTACCCTGTATGTCACCATTCTGATAGGAGTCAAAGTCTCTTCTTGGTGAATGGTAGATGGAGAAGCATGCTGGGCACTGACCATCCATCTCAACCAGGAGCTGGTTGAGTGTCTGCTCCTCCTCCGTGTTGGAGAAGCCGGACATGGAAGTGGAACGCTTCTTGCCGACGGCATCGATCTCATCAATGTACACTATGCAGGGGGCCCGGGCTCGGGCTTCCTTGAACAGGCTGCGCACACGGGCAGCTCCCAGGCCTGAGGGGACACAGAGTATCAGAAGATGGACAGATAAATGGAATCAAACTTGCTGGGCGTGATGGCGCATGCCTTTATTCCCAGCACTCGGGAGGCAGAGGCAGGCTTGGTCTACATAGTGAATTCCAGGACAGCTGGGGCTACAAGGAAGACCCTGTCTCAAAAAGACCAAAAAAAAAAAAGACCAAAAAAAAAAACCAGCCAGTAAAAAATCTCCATCAAGGATGCCTATACCTAACTAACAAGCCACTCTAACCAGCAGAGGTGCCCTGTAGCTTGCCCTCCTGCCCTCCTACAAGAAAAGTAGCATCAAAGCATTTAAGCGGATCCATTATGGACCAGTTTCCATTAACTTGGGTTATGTTTGTTCTTCTTATAGTCTACTCTTCAATTCCATATGTTGGGGAAGGATGTGTGGGAAGCCATTACAGCAAACTGCCCACACCCTCAGCCCATACTTACCTCCAATGACCTCCACAAACTCTGGGCCTGCCATCGCCAAGAAGGGCACCTGAGCCTCTGTGGCTACTGCCTTGGCCAACAGTGTCTTCCCACAACCAGGGGGCCCAAGTAAGAGGGCGCCCTTTGGGACCTTGGCACCAAGCTGAAGAAAGCGCTCTGGGCTCTAGATGACAATAGATATGCAGTACTAAGCACTCAATATTTCAGAGAATGTTTTAGTGACTCACATGAAGGGCAACTCATAGTCACAAATCAGCTATGGTTTCAGTGGGTCTAGAAAAGCACAGAGTTTTACCAGGGTCTCACATCCAAGAGAGCACATGGTCCAGTCAAGGTGGACAATTATCACCCTTATGCTTTGATAAGACAAATGTACACTGGGCATCAGTGCAGGTTTAGCAGGCACAAGACATATGGGTGGTGTCTGCATAGGACTGGCATCCTCAATACATGACATCTAACCCTGGAGAGCTCCAGCCTTGAAGTGTCTGCTCACCCCAGCCTTTCATCTTGGAAAGATATGTCAACTACCCACTCATACCTCTTTCAGGTTTAACACATGGCTCTCACCTTCAGATAATCCACAAACTCTCGGACTTCCAGTTTGGCTTCATGCATTCCTGCTACGTCTTGGAAGCTGACTCCTTTCCCCGTCTTCCCATCCACAATGGTAAAACGCGCCATTTTAAGTTGATTCTATGCAGAAAGAGTCAGGGTAGGAAGTTGTGCATCCCTAGAATAGGGAAGCAGAGGCTGCCATCTACATGACCTGACACAAACTTACATCCCTTAAATCTCCATACTGATTGGACTCTCCTCCCATAGTCCAGAAAGACCAGCCAATTCCATTAGTCATATTGTGCTGGATAGCTTTAATGTCAACTTGACAAACCTGGGTTGAGGGAGCCTCAACTGGGGAATTGCCTCCACAGGACTGGCCCGTGGCCATGTCTGTGGGGCATCTTCTTGATTGTTATGTGATGTGGGAGGGCCCAGCCCACTGTGGGTGGTGCCACCCCTGGGCAGGTGCGCCTTTGCTGCATAAGAAAGCAGGCTGAGCAGGGGCCAGGAGAGCAAGCCAGTAAGCAACATTTCTCCATGGCTTGTGCTTCAGCACCTGCCTCCAGGATTTCATCTCCCTGAGTTCCTACCTTGGGCTCCCTGATGAACTGTGACCCAGGAGATGTAAGATAAATAAACCCTTTCCTCCCCAAGTTGGTATTGGTCAAAGTAGTTTTTTTTTAAACTTTAAAAAAAAAATTTATTTATTATCTTTATTTTATGTGTATGCATGTATTGCCTGCATGTAGGTAAGTGCACCCATGTCGTGCAATGCCTGTGGAGGTCAGAAGAGGCTGTCAGATCCCTTGGGACTGGAGTTACAGACAGTTGTTAGCTGTCATGTGGGTGCTGGGATTCAAACCCGGGTCTTCTGCAAGAACAACCAGTGTTCTTAACCACTGAGCCATCTCTCCAGCCTGAGTCAGAGTATTTTGTCACAGCAATGGAGAAACAAACTAGAACACATATCAAATGCAGAGGCTCACAAGTCACTTCAAACACACAAAGAGAAATCTTTGGTTTATATTGTTTGTATTAGTAAGAAAGTTATCTAGAAATTATCTTAAAAAAAATAAAAATGGCTGGGTGTGGTGTCACACACCTGTAGTCCCAGCACTTGGGAGGCAGAGGCAGGCGGATCTCTGTGAGTTCAAGGCCAGCCTGGTCTACATATTGAGTTCTAGGACAGCTGGAGCTACAGGGAGACCCTGTCTCAAAAAAGATGAAACATAAATAAATAAATAAATAAATGAATGAATGAATGAATGAATAAAAATAAGCTGGGTATAGTGGCACATACCTTTAAACCCAGCATTTGGTAAGCAGGTCTCTGAGAGTTGGGGGCCAGCCTGGTCTACATAGTGAGTTCCAGGGCAGCAAGGACTACATGCTAAAACCTTGTCTCAAAAACACACACTCAAGAATAAATAAATAAATAAATAAATAAATATAAAAAATTCTCCTCAGGGCTAAAGAGATGGTTCATCAGTTAAAAGCAATGGCTGCTCTTGCAGAGGACCCAGGTTCAGTTCCCAGCACCCACATGGCAGCTAACAATCATCCAAACTCCAGTTTCAGGGGATCCGATACCCTCTCTGGCCTCCATGGACATTGCATGACATGGGTGCATTCACATACATGCAGGTAAAACACTCACACACATGAAAATAAATACATTAAAGCCTTAAGTCATGCTGGGTGTGGTGGTACACACCTTTTATCCCAACACTCAGGAGGTAGAGGCAGGCGGATCTCTGTGAATTCCAGGCCAGCTGGGGCTACAGGGAGACCCTGTCTCAAAAAGACGAAAAAAAAAAGAAAAAAAAACCTTAAGCCAGGCATGGCATGGTGGTACATGCCTTTAGTCCCAGCACTCAGAAGGCAGAAGCAGGCAGATCTCTGTGGGATGAAGGCCAGCCTGGTCTACACAGTGAATTCCCAAGCCAGCTATGACTATAGGGAAACCCTGTCTCAAACAACAACAAAATAATAATAATAATAATAATAATAATAATAATAATAAATAAATAAATAAATACATTAAAAAAATTCCGCTCAGGGATAGGAGTATAGTTCACCAGTACAGCACTTGCTTAGTATGTACAAGGCTCTAGGATTCAACGGCACACAACGCACCAGAAGAAAAAGCGTTTAAGGAGACAAATATGCTTACTCAATGGAAACAAAGTGATAGTGTCAGAGGTAGAACAGGAGCCTCCTACTGCCCCAGAGAACCTGAGTGCCCAAGGAGTCATGGGAGGGACAAGTACACCTTCTAAGGGTGTACTATGCTATGACTGTTCTTTATTTTTTTTTAACTATTTTATTATTTTCATTCTATGTGTATGATTGTATTGTCTGCATGTAGGTAGGTGCACCCATGTCGTGCAATGCCCAAATGCCCAGGGAAGTCAGAAGAGGGTGTCAGATCCTCTGGAACTGGAGTTACGGATGGTTGTTAGCCACGATGTGGGTGGTAGGAGCTGAACCCAGGTTCTCTGCAAGAGCAACCAGTGCTCTTAATTGCTGAGTCATCTCCAGTCTGCTGTGGCTGTTCTTTAAAGGCACCTTTAATGTTTCTCTTGGCTAGTAGGAGAAACCAGGGAGGGAAGAAAAAAAAACAAAGGAAGAAAGGAAAGAAGGAAGGAAGGAAGGAAGGAAGGAAGGAAGGAAGGAAGGAAGGAAGGAAGGAAGGAAATAAAGACATCACTCCCAGCCACTATGGGACCTTACAGAATAAGTACATTCAAAATACACTTCCCTATACTCTGTGGGCTCAGCCATCCCCATGTCAGGAAAGAGGACTTCAGTAATGCTGTCTACTCTCTCCAGTCAGCCAAGCAGGAGGATGAAAGCTCATTATGGTTCACATGGCCAATGCAAAAACCTGATTTTCACTGAGTATTTTTCCTTAGGCTATGGGAAAGAATTCAAGCTCACACACACAAATTTCCAGCAGGCTGTGACCAGCACAAACTTACAAAAGCACTGAATCCTCCTTCCCTTCCAGTCATCCCAGTCAGTCGAAAAACATACCACAGGATGGCCAGGCCCACTGCTGTCATCCCTAGGGCGTAGAGGGCACTGGGTGAGAAAGAATGGCAGTTAGAGGGCTGGAAGTCATTGTCAGGTCCAAGCAAAGCCAGGACCCCTAGGTCTAAGGCCAAGGCACAAAGCAAATGGTTGTAAAGACATGCTCTCCTGTCCCACCATCACCAAAGTTGCTCTTCTATACAGGTTTTCAAATGATCAGACTGACTGTGCAGGCCTGTCTTACCCACTGTGTGACAATGCCCAACAAGAGGATCTATGAAAAACAGACCACGCCATGTTCAGTCGTTTTCAATTAGTGAGGCAAAAACAAGCCTTAGTGAAAAAATAAGTACTAAGATCAGGCTCTCCATGGAAGGAGGGAAAAGAGCTGCACAAGTTAGGGGTAGCTGCTTTTTATTTTATTTTTCTGTCTTTTCGAGACAGGGTCTCCCTGTAGCCCCAGCTGTCCTGGAACTGACTATGTAGACCAGGCTGGCCTCAAACTCACAAAGATCCGCCTGCCTCTGCCTCCGAGTGCTGGGATTAAAGGCCTGTGCTACCACACCTGGCTGGGGTAGCTACTTTTAAAGGAGTACTTGCTAGATACTGGCTTGCAAACCCACAGCAACCATCTTTTTATACACTGCCCTCAACTACTGTTGGTCCCGCAGTGCCTACGGGTCCCACAGTCCCTAACAGTATATCCAACAGTGCTAATGTGCCTCTGCCTCTCATCACTAAAGCAATTTCTATTTACCACGGCCCTTTCCATCCTTTCTGCTCCACTCAACTCCGTAGAAGACAGCAACCCCAGTGTGCTGAGTTAAGAACTGTCATAGACAATTAAAGGCATCTGAGACAAGCTCTAGCAACTTGCACGGCCATGTTGGCATCTCATGTGCACTCATCTAACAACCCTCTCAACGGGGACCCTCTTAACTGCAGGCAAAGTCAGCTCAAGATCTGTGCCTGCACTGTGTGTGTCACATTACAAAGTCAAGCTCGGTTTAGTTCACATACTTTCCAAAGAATCCCATGCGCTTATAGGAAACGGGAATCCTATCCTTGCTCTCAATGTTCAGCTCATCTTCAGCTGCTCGAAGCTTCTCTTCAAATTTGTCGATATTTGCAACCTGCATCCGGTACATCAAGGCCAGTCGCTGAAGGTAGACGGTAGAGAGAACAAGAGGGTAAAAGGTCAGCACACAGTGTCTGTTATATACTGTATAGACTCCAGGGCTCAAAACAGACAACGCAGGAAACACTTCCATGCCTAAAAAGTTCTATTTTTTTCAAGTACAACCTGGAAAGCGATCTCAGAAGATAACCCTTTCTGATGGAAATGCTTTGCACTAAACAAAGTTTTGCCCCATCACTTCTAAGGCAGAGGCAGAAGGACCACTGCAGGTTCTAGTCCAGCCAAGGCTACATAGGAAGACCCCATCTCAAAAAACAAAAGTTCAAGACAGCAGAGGGGCAGTTACATCTTTAGTCACCACCTCCCCTTGATAGGTACCTTGGCTCTGCTGTGCAGAGAGCAGCAGGAATCACACAGACATGAATCTATGACCACATCTCACTAGGGATGGCAAGATCTATTTAAAAAAGCCACAAGCCGGGCTAGAGAGATGACTCAATGGTTAAGAACACTGACTGTTCTTACAGAAGACCTGGGTTCGAATCCCAGCACCCACATGGCAGCTAACAACTGTCCGTAACTCCAGTTCCAGGGGATCCGACAGCCTCTTCTGTTCTCCTCTAGCACTGCACAACACAGGTGCACTTACCTACATGCAGGCAATACACTCATACACATAAACTAAAATAAAAATAATTTTTTTTTTAAAAAGGCCTACAAGCAGGATTTTTAGGAAAAAGTAACAAATGGTTTTGTGGCAGGATCTGGAAATTAAATAAGTCTCTTTGTTCCAAAATTTAGCCCTCATTATTTCGCAAAATTTGTCTCCCCAACATTTGTCTTCCAACTACTTTCCCTAGTCAAACTGCGTGCCTAAGTCACATTTGAGTCTGTCTAGGACCACCAGCCAGAGAGACTTCCCCATTCTTTGTAGAGTAAGCTGGCAGTTGTGGCAAAGGACAGGCAAGGGCAGTAAGTGACACCTGCCATCCTTTCACACATGCCCCACATTGCTAAGAGAGAATTCTGAACACTTTCTCATTAGGAAGTTGCTTCATCAGATGGACATCAAGCAGCATGTAGGGATTCATGTAACATAGCTGCACTCAGCACTCATCAGCTGTCTATTTGGCTTTCTTATACTCCTTTATATTTTTACTTATTTTTGGTGGTGCTGGGATGGTCCACACCAAGAAAGTGCTCTACCGCTGAGCTCTATCCCGTGTCTATATTTTTCTTTTTAATTTGAGAGAAGCTCTTGAGAAGTTCTTGTTAAGTTCCCCACTCTGGCCTTGAAATCATTCATGGTCTCTGGCGACCATGAAATTGCAACCTTCTGCCTCAGCCTCCCAGTTAGCTGAGAATTAGAAACCTGCTCCAACAGGCCTAGACTCTTCAACTTTTTTGTATTTTTGAGACAATGTCTCCCTATAGCCCCAGCTGGCCTGGTACTCGATTTATAGACCAGGCTGGCCTTGAACTCACAGAGATCCACTTGCCTCTGGCTCCGGAGTGCTGAGATTAAAGGTGTGCGACACCACGCCCAGCCTCTTCTACTTTTTAAAATATGAAGATGGCCAGTATTCTCTACTAAGGCTGTAGAGATACACAACTTTCAGGTTCATTCTCTCTCTCTCTCTCTCTCTCTCTCTGTCTCTCTCTGTCTCTCTTGGTCTTTTTGAGACTCTCTCTCTCTCTCTCTCAACAAGGAACCTGGAGTATCATCTGAAAACCCAGGGAGAAGGCCAGAGAGCCATAATCCAGGAGTAGCTAGGAGCAGCAGGAAGGCAGGTGATGCATGGCATCACATCTAGATGTGGCCCACTCTCATTTGGATTTACAGAAAATGTTTCTAAATACATGATGACCCTGGTCAGGATGACAAGAAGGCTAACACCCAAAGCCACATGTTCATTTTGACCAGGTGGCCTTGAGGATGAGTCAGTATTTCCCAAGTGGGTCCTAGAGGTGCCACTGTAGCCAGCAACTACCACACCACAGCTAGTTTCTCAGGAATTTGCTGCACAGAAGAGAGACCAGGAAGACGAATCACAGGTTCCTATGTAACCCCAGGAAAGTGGCTTGGCACCAGTCAGGCATCTGACACTGGGGTCTGAGTCATGGGATCACTCCTCAGCCTGTCTGCTATCTCCAGTATGAAGAAAATCCGAAGTTGCAGTGGAGGCCTCAGAAGCAGCCTCCTGAATGACTCAGTAAAGGGGTGGCACCAGTAGGGTCACAGCTATCTCCACCACCAGTCTAGGTGCCAGAACTCAAAATTCTTCCACATAAGGGTATGTGGTGGCACATGGAGGCAAAGACAGGTGGATCTCTGTGAGACAGAGGCCAGCCTAGTCTACATAGTAAGTTCCAGGCCAGCTGGGACTACAGGGAGGTCTATTAAAACCTCCCACATGGGCCACCTTATTCTACTTTCATGTCTCATGGCTCACGGCCTCCCAGTTCTACATTATTACCAGGTTAAACTGCTGGAGTGCACAACCCTGGATTTAAGTTGAGCAACTGACGGATGACCCAACTCTAAAAGTCTCAGAGAAGTCTTTATGAACCTGTGATCTGAAGTTGTAGCTGGTCCCTTCCCATGAGCTGGAGCTGTAGTTCCCAGTCATGAGTCTGGAGGTATGTAGTCCCCTCTTGAGAGTTGAAATTGTGGTCCTCTCCCATGAAACCAGAGCTGTGACCCCCCATATGAGCCTGGAGCTATGGTCCCTGACCACGAGTAATGGTTCCACACTCCTCTGGTGGTGGGCTGATGGTGGAACAGATGCAGGATGGAGGACCTCTCTGATGTTAGGCTGCAGTTTCAGCCTTTTCTGAGTAGCTGCATTCCCCACAACTCCTTTCCCCAAGATCCTAGGCTGTCCCTGGCAGTGACTTTGCCTCTGTGTTGGGCTTATGCTGGGGAGAGGCAAAGTCTCTATCATTTGCAGATTCTAGTCTTCAGAATGGACATACCCCTCCCCTGAGGGCCAGCTGTGGTCTTGACTCCACCTGTGGTCCTGGACATTCAGGCCTTGATGTTGGACCTCTGCCATTCCCAGGCACCAAGAGGTTTTCCATTATTTCTACAGCCCCAGTATACATTCACCTGTGCCCCATAAAATACGTAAAGCCCTTACTTGAACTTCTAGAGATAAAAATCACAGTCTGAGAAGTTTTTTAAAAAAGAGAGTACTGTAATACCTAAACTGATACAATATTTTTTCTTTTTGGTCTTTTTGAGACAGGGTCTCCCTGTAGCCCCAGCTGGCCTTGAACTTGGAGAGATTCATCTGTCTCTGCCTCCTGAGTGCTGGGATTAAAGGTATGCACCACCAAGCCCAGCCAGACTGACATAATTCCTTTCTGGTTTTTTGGATTTTTTTTGTCTTTTTGAGACAGGGTCTCCCTGTAGCCCCAGCTGGCCTGGAACTCACTTTGTAGACCAGGGTGGCCTCGAACTCACAGAGATCCACCTGCTCTGCCTTCCTAGTGCTGGGATTATAGGCATGCGCCACCACACCCAGCTTAGACTGATATAATTCTTAAACTGAAAATATGTAACTGTATTTTAGAACGCAAATTCACAATTATATATGTCTACTATAATTTCTGAGTGTTATTTACTGATAAAACTATACTACCGGGCCGGGTGTGGTGGCACACACCTTTAATCCCAGCACTCAGGAGGCAGAGGCAGGCAGATCTCTGTGAATTCAAGGCCAGCCTGGTCTACAAAGTGAGTTCCAGGACAGCTGGGGCTACAGGGAGACCCTGTCTCAAAAAGACCAAAAAAAAAAAACCCCCAAAAAAACCTATACTACCAAGCTTCAACAGTACTGTGAAATTTATCACTGCTGCTATAATATGAATTTGAGCATGTACTCCCTTTCCAAATTCTCCAATCTATGCAAAGTTCTTCAATGTAATCAAGTTATTTTTTGTAAAACAGCAATGCTAATTAAAAAGACTGTTAGCCTGAAAGTAATGTCTCAGTGTAAATCATGGGGGTAACAGTAAGTAGCCATTCAGTATTTACCCACCATTTAATTATACCCCTCTGCAAACTAGATACAGTGCTCAATGGCTATACTTTACGGACCCTAGATGTCTGATCTGGGCTTTCCCATACCTCGAAGCCACTACAACACCAATATGGTTCCAACCTGCACAGAAGGGAAAAGGTAGAAATGACCCTTTTCACTACGCCAGACTCAAGAGCAAAGTGTCCGAGTCCAGAAGCTAACTCAAACCCCACATCCTCAGCAGTTTTCTGGGACCATCTGCACCTGCCTCATCCAGGCACATCTGCAAGGCTGTAGAGCTCTGTACATCTTTGCTGAGTTCTGGGTGCACATCTTGTGCCATTCCTGTCTTTATGGCACGTGGTTGTTTGAATCAGCTGGGAATATAGCACAAGTATATGCTGATCCCATTGCCCCAGTTCTCATAAACTGATCAACACAGAGCAGATCTGAGCGAGCTTGCTGGGCTACATGGCACTCAGGCCACACCACATCCAGGCAAGAGGAACCACAGAGTGTCCTCTGGGGAACAGCTCTGTTAAAAGAGAGAACACAGCCAGGCATGGTGGCGCACGCCTCTAATCCCAGCACCGGGGAGGCAGAGGCAAGCAGATCTCTGTGAGTTCAAGGCCAGCCTGGTCTACATAGTGAGTTCCAGGACAGCTGGGGCTACAGGGAGACCCTGTCTCAAAAAGAAAAAAAAAAAAGGAGAGAACACAACGCTGGAAGAGTAGGCCACTTCAGTGAGCAGACAGGAACTAGAGCCTGTGCCTACAGCCTGGCATGCAGGAGAGAGCAGCAGTGACCCCTCACAGTGCAGTCTTCCCACCACCCAAACTTCAAACTAAACATGGGAGGAGATGAAAGATAAAATTCAGTCCCTTGGCTGGGCATGCACACCTTTAATGCCAGCAATATGAAGGCTGAAGCAGGCAGATCTTTGGATTTCAAGGCCAGCCTGGTGTACAGAACAAGCTCCAAGCCAGCCAGGGCTACTTATATTGTCAGACTACATTCTGGGTAATACCTTTGCCTAAACACTGCTTTTTCAGGACCTAGCAGTGGTGCTATGGTACTGGAAGAGAAACACGAAACAAAAACTGGGTGTAGAGTAGGATGGGACTCACCCTCATATAGTCTGTCCCCTGAGGGAACAGCAATCTCCACAGCTTCAACTACTGAACATTACCACTGTCACCCTGGAGTGGAGGTGGGGCTTTCCCTACTTTCTGACACTGAACCCTCTACCTGATCTGAATTCTTTCTCTTGCTACAGCATGTCTCCCCCTACCCTCCCAGGTTGGGCTCCTGAGGGTCAGAGTAGATATGAGTGCTCATTATCCTCTCTACCAACTTGCATGCCTTATACCCCTCAGAAGACAAACCTGTCCATGGGATCAGCAGGCCTCTACCTGATGACCTATCATCTGTTTCTTCATCCATCACGACCCATTGATCACTTAAAGGCTACATCTCAAACTGATAGCAATAACTCTTTGCCGCCTCAATTCTCCTTGACCTGAATGACCTGGGACCAAGGCCCTCCCTTCTGACTTTCCACTCAGCAATGTACATACCCAGATTGGCCCACTAGACCCCCAGGTGGTCTCATCTCCTTATCTCCTAATGCCAGAAAGATGGTTTGTCACTTTCACCTCTTCCACTCTGAACACATTATCAGTGCAGAATCTCTGGTCAAGCACTCCACCTACTACCTTCCTTAAGCTCCACTGTAGAAGGCATGGCCCAAACCCTGCAACAAGCCCTTTGTATCTCTAGATACATACATCTCCTTAAAGACAACCAGACAAGCTCAGGATTGAAGGGCTGACTAAAAAAGGAACATGCTCAAATCTCCCAGCCTCTCCAATGCCCTCACCCTCACTCACAGGCCGCCCAAACACCACAGCTCCAGGATGCAGATAAACTTCCACTACATCACTCTCAGGTACCACCAGTACACGCTGCACCTCGCCTTTAGCAAGCATCTCATTGACGAAGTCGGTCCAGGATATACTGCCCCCACTGGTGCTGAACGAGTTCAGTAGGCTCATTACAACAGCGATGACAAACAAGGTACGCAGCCGCTCCCGGTACATCTGGTCCTCCCGTTCCTTCCGTCTCTTCTCCTCTGAACAAAGCATAAGGAGAATCAGGCACATGAAGAGAATAAAGTCCAGATACATCCTTGCATAAACTCAGTTCCACCACTCTTCAGGAATGCTCAGCTTCAGAGGGGCAGGGTTCTCCAAATTTCTGCCAGTTTTCAACAGAAATACTATCCAAGTGTTGTCTGAAGTCACTTCAGAGGAAAGGAGTGGTTCCCACTGTGAATGAGTTGAAACCACTTTTTGTTTTGTTTTTTGAACACAGTCTCTCTGTAGCTCCTGGTGGCCTGGAAGCTTGCTATGTGGACCAGGCTGGTTTCATAGAGACCTACCTACCTCTGCTGGTATTCAAGATGTGGGCTGCCATGCTTGGCTTGCAATGGGGTTAACTTTTACAGTCAAAAGCCATTCTAGAGCCAGGCGTGGTGGCACACATGCCTTTAATCCTAGCACTTGGGAGGCAGAGGCAGGCGGATCTCTGGGAGTTCAAGGCCAGCCTGATCTACATAATGAGTTCCAGGCCAGCTGGGGCTACAAGGAGGCCCTGTCTCAAAAAGGCCCAAAAAAAAAAAAGCCATTTTAGGAGAGCATCTTGCTGCTGCCATGTACAGGAGACTGTCCACTAAAAGTCTAAAACAGCTGTGCATACATGCACTGAGATGCACTGGGTACTAAATACCAACATGACACCTGCAGCATGCATAAGATAACAGTAAAGTGAGCACCTGCTTCTACCTGGCCCCCAAAATAGCATTTTCCTCATCTACTGAAGAACATACTTTTTCCTCTATTCAAACTTACTTACTGGAATAAGCAGTATTTAAAAATAAGTTGTTCTACGTTATTGCCACAAGAATTAAAAACAGCATGTTCGGGGCTGGAGAGATGGCTCAGCAGATAAGAACACTGACTGTTCTTCCAGAAGACCCGAGTTTGAATCCCAGCGGCCACATGGCAGCTAACAACTGTCTGTAACTCCAGTTCCAGGGGATCTGACAGTCTCTTCTGACCTCCTCGGGCACTGCACGACATGGGTGCACTTACCTACATGCAGGCAATACACGCATACACATAATAAAAATAAAAATAATAAAATATTAAAAAAAAACAAAAACAAACCAGTATGTCCATGGACCAGTGAAAAGTTCTTGCCACACAAGCCTGAGATGAATCTCAGGAAACCACATAATGGTAGAGGGAAAGAAGGATGCAGCTGGAGAGATGGCTCAGCAGTTACAAACACTGACTGTTCTTACAGAAGACCCGGGTTTGAATTCCAGCACCCACATAGCAGCTAACAACTGTCCGTAACTCCAGTCCCAGGGGATCCTACGGCCTCTTCTGACCTCTGCGGGCATTGCACAACACGGGTACACTTACATACATGCAGGCAACACATGCATACACAAGAAATAAAAATAATAAATATTTTTAAAAAAGAAGGAAAGGATTCGACAATGTTGTTCTCTGACTTCCACAAGCAACACACACACACACACAAAACACATTCAAGGGCTAGAGAGATGACTCAGCAGTTAAGAGCACTGGCTGCTCTTGCAGAGGATCAGGTTCAGTTCCCAGCATCCACATAGTGGCTAACAACCTTCTATAACTCCAGTTCCAAGGAATCTGGTGCCCTCTTCTGGCCTCTGCAGGCATTGCATGACATGTATATACTTAATACACAAGCAGGAAAAACGCTTATATGCATAAAATAAAAAATAAAGCTGGGCGTGGTGGTGCATGCCCATAGTCCCAGCACTTGCGGGGCAGAGGCAGGTGGATCTCTGTGAGTTCAAGGCCAGCCTGGTCTACATAGTGAGTGCCAGGACAGCTGGGGCTACAGGAAGACCCTGTCTCAAAAAGACCAAAAAATAAATAAATAAATAAAATAAAAAATAAATAAACAAATAAATTAAAAAGTACATTTGGGGCTAGAGAGATGACTCAGAAGTTAAGAGCACTGGCTGCTTTTGCAGTGGACCGGGGTCAACTCTCAGTACCCACATGGCAGCTCACAACTATACTTAACAACAGTTCTAGGGAATTTGATATCCTCATCTAGCCTCCACAGGCACGAGGTGTACATGTGATACACATGCATACGTGTTATGTGAAACATTCATAGACATAAATAAAAATAGGGGCTGGAGAGATGGCTCAGCAGTTAAAAACACTGGCTGCTCTTGCAGAGGACCCAGGTTCAATTCCCAGCATCCACATGGCAGCTAACAACTGTCTTTAATTCCAGCTCCGGGGGAATCCGAAGCCCTCTTCTGACCTCTGCAGGCACTGCATGACAAGGGTGCACTTACCTACATGCAGGCAATATACTCATACACATAAAATAAAAATAAAAATACATAAAATATGAAAATAAATAAATCTAGAAAAGTTAAAAAAAAAAAAAAGCATTCAAAAACATAAGATGGCTGACAAGGGGGTCAGTGGGGAAAGCAATTTGTCACTAACCCTGACAACCTGAGTTCAATCCCCAGGTTCAAGTGGTAGAAGGAGAGAACATACTCCCACAAGTTGTCCTCTGATTTTCACATTATGCTGTGGCACATTTGCACCTACACAGGCACACTGTGTGTACACACACACACACACACACACACACACACACACACACATCAAGGCCCATAAAATGGCTCAGCAGGTAAAGGCAATTACTGCTAATCCACATGACCTAAATTTGATCCTCAAGACCCACATGGAGGAAAGAGACAATCAACTAAGTTGTGCACTGATCTCCATGAGTACTCTGGTACACACACTCTCCGCCTCCCCAAAACACACAAATAAATAAATGTAATATAAATATATATCATAGCTGGGCATAGTAGCACACACCTTTAACCCCAGCACTCAGGAGGCAGAGGTAGGCGATCTCTGTGAATTCAAGGCCAGCCCAGCCTGGTCTACATAGTGAGTTCCAGGCCAGCTGGGGCTACAGGGAGACCCTGTCTCAAAAGGACCAATAAATAAAATGATAGATAGATGACTGATAGATAGATAGATAGATAGATAGATAGATAGATGATAAATAGATAAATAATCGTTACGATGTCATGATAACACATATCTGTATAAGTATCACAGGTGTCATGATAGCACATATCTGTATAAGTATCACAGGTGTCATGATAGCACATATCTGTATAAGTATCATAAGTGTCATGATAGCGCACATCTGTAATCCCAATAACCAGGAGGCAGAGGCAGGAGTTCAAGGTGAGTCTGAAGTTGGCCTGAAATACATGAAACTGCGTCTCAAAAAACTCAACAAAACACAAATCTGGCTGGATATAGTGGCACACGCCTTTAGTCCCAGTACTTGGGAAGCAGAGGCAGGCAGATCTCTGTGAGATCAAAGCCAGCCTGGTCTACATAGTGAGTTCTAAGCCAGTTGGGGCTACAAGGAGAACCTGTCTCAAAAAATAAAAACTAAGCCGGGTATGGTGGCACACATCTGTAGTCCCAGCACTTGGGAAGCAGAGGCAGGTGGGTCTCTGTGAATTCAAGGCCAGCCTGGTCTACATAGTGAGTTCCAGGGAGACCCTGCCTCAAAAAGATAAAAATAAATAAATGAATAAATGAATGAATGAATAAATAAATAAATAAATAAATAAATAAATAAATAAATGGCCTAGCTTTTATCCCAACAATCAGGAGGCAGAGGCAGGTGGATCTCTGTGAGTTCAAAGCCAGCCTGGTTTACTGCCTCAAAAAGATAAAAATAAATAAATGAATAAATGAATGAATGAATAAATAAATAAATAAATAAATATCCAGCTGGCTACAGGGAGGTGGAGGCAGAGGCAGGCAGATCTCTGTGAGTTTGAGGCCAGCCTGGTCTACATATCTAGTTTTAGGCCAGCTGGAGAGATCCTGTCTCAAAAAGACCAAAATACACAAATAAATTTTATTATCTGTGGAGGGGGCATGCACGCACAAGACGCACATGTGCATGCTGGGGTGCACATATGGAGGTCAGAAGACAGCTTATGGAAGTCAGTTCTCTCCTTCTACCCTGTAGGTCCTGGGGCTCAAACTCAGATCATCAGGACTGGCAGGCAGCAAGTGCCTTTACCCTCTAATCACGTCACAAACACTATCTACAGATTTTTGTTTGCTAGTTTTCTGAGATAGCATCTTTTTTTTCCAATTTTATTATTTTTATTTTATGTGTATGAGTGTACTGCCTGCATGTATGTGAGTGTACCCGTGAAGTGCAATGCCTCAGAGGTCAGAAGAGGGCATCAGATTCCCCTGGAACTGGAGTTAAGGATGGTTGGTAGCCACCATGAGGGTGCTGGGAATCAAACCCAGGTCCTCAGCAAGAGCAGTCAGTGCTCTTAACCACTGAGCCATCTCTCCAGCCCCTGAGAGATGGCATCTTCCTATAGCCCTAACTGGCCAGGAGCTCCCTACATAGACCAGGCTTTAATTTATAGAAAGACAGGAATTCCAGGTTTTTCCTGGAAACTCTTTATCAGGACTATTAGCTAAATTCCCCACATCACACCACTTGGTCAATCCCCTACAAAGGACCGAGGCAGCATGGTACTCACATAGGGAAGAGGAGACAAGACTACTCTCAAAACCCTGGAATCCATGGGGAAGCCAGTCATGGGGCAACAGGACACAACACTGACCAAAGGCTAACTGGGCCCAACACAGGGTTCTAAAGTAAGGGTCACATGGGCATCAGAGGATCTCAGCAGGTGTGACCAGTATCTTCAGAAAGGCTTTGGGGAAGGCATGTAGACACGGGACCTAGACAGAGAGCCACATGCAATGGAACATCTGTGAGAGTCACTTCCTGTGACAAGCATAACTAGGAACAGTCCCGACATGGCCCCAAATTTCCTCCAAACCCACAGAGGTGAGTCCCTCCCCATTCTACCTGGAGAAGGTAGCAGGTGATGAGTTTTCTTTCTGCAGTGCTTTCTGACAGAGTGATCTCACTAACTCTTTACATTTATTTTATTTATTTATCTTGGGGTGGGGGAGGTGGGGAGGGGAGAGGCACACATGCCACAGCACACATGTGGAGGTCAGAGGATGACTTCCTGGAGTCAATTCACTCTTTCTACCATGGAGGGTCGTGGGATCAAACTGAGGTTGTCAGGCTTGGCAATAAGCACCCCTACCTGCTAAGCCACCTTGCAAGCCCTGATCTCATGATCTCTTTACCTTATTCCTACAACTATCCAAGATGGCACCATTACCACCTCCACACCCACACCAGAGGCCCCCCTTGAGCCCTCAGAGGCAGCTACCAGCCATCCATGGAGAATAAACCTCACAGCAAACATCAGTCTGCAGCTGCAGTGCCTTTAGGTAATCAACACACTATCCTTTCCCAGTCCTGCCCCAGACAGGCTAACACCAAGTCCTTCTCATGGTGAGCCAAGAGATACTGAGCCTTGTTATTCACATCTGCTCTAAGTAGGAAAGAGACTTGCTACAAATGGGATTCTTGACAAAAACATGTAGAAGGCAAGTCTGAGGGTCAGGGCTAAGCCCTGAGGATGAAGCCTGCTCAGCCTTACCCGTCCCCAAGACAAGCTATGCCTGCAAGAAGAGCAATAGAGCAAATGAGCTGAAACTCACTCCTTCGCTCTGCTCCTCTCTACACTGCCTGGTGGCTTCCTGCTGGCAACACTGCAAGGCCTGGCATGTCCATGAACTAGCCTCCTCTCCAACAGTAAGCTTAAAGGAATAAAAAAATGAAGTCTTCTGAAAAGGGTTGTGACAGCAATTATTTGGAAATACCAAGGTGTGTTGTTTGTTTACTATATCCAATTATAACAGATCAAAATACAATGTCTAATGTTCAGAGCTCATATTCACAAAAGGCAACTAAATAAAAGCCACTACTTATTTTGGTAAGTGAATTTTCCTTCTAAGTGAGTAGCTGATTATTTGGAAGCTAGCTAGTGTCTTCAACTGCTCTCCCCTTATTTTTGGAGACAGGATCTCTTAATGAACCTAGAGCTCACTAATTCAGCTAGAATAGATGGCCAGCACCTCTCAGGGATCGTCCTGTCTCCATGTCCCCAGTACTGGGATTACAGGTGACAGGCATGTGTCATCACACCTAGCTTTTACACAGGTGCTAGGGATTGAACTCAGGTCCAAGACTGCATAGCGACCACTTAGCCATCTCACCAGCCCTAGCCCATCTATCTTATTTTTGAGGTTCAAATTCTGTCAGTAAGCTTGACAGCCATGTGAACCTGTAGGAAAACCTTTCCAACAGCTATGTCTTGCTAAAGTGAGGCTCAGTAATCGTGACGAATCCCTTTTATCAGATGCCTTGTGTATATCTTATTTCAATGTAGTACAGTCAAATTTAAAACACTGATATACAGAGTAAATTCTCATGGCCCTAGCGACATGACTGTGCTGAGTTTACCAGTAAACAAATCAGCTAAAAATACTCATAAGTTAATACCCTAGGGCTGGGTAGATCTGAGGTTCACCCTTTTTGTGAAACAACATAAACTCTGTCTGCCTTCATGCATTCCTGAATGTGATGGGGACACAGGTGTCTGCAGTGGCATCTCTGAAGAAAGAGAACAAAGGACCCAGCAACCAGACAGAAGTAGGCAATTTGCACGGGGAAGGCAAGCAACTCTGCCTTTCAGAACAGCCTCGCCCTGCTAAGAGGAGAGTACACAAGGGAGGCATCCTAGGGGCCAATACTTCACAATATCAGGTAGGCATACCTTCGTCTTCTTCAGGGGGCTTGCCTTTGGGTTTATCATTGTCTTTATTCTTTTGCTTCATCCTTGAGGTGTTAAAATAGAAGGTACCACCTATAATAAATAAGAATGAAAAGTTTGCAACTCTGGGAGAAACCCATGGGAAAGCAGTATGCCCACAATAGCCATATCACAGCAGAAACCATCTGACACCTATACCCTGAGAGTTGCTATATTTGAGAGAACACAGCACTTTCTTCTCCTCTCCATCCTACCAGGGAATGGTAGTGATAGAATAATGAACTATTTTAATATATAAAGTGAAATAATTTTCAACTTAACTGTCTTTAACTCCAGTTCCAGAGGAATCGAAACACCGTCTTCTGACCTCCATGGCATTGCACAACACGGGTGCACTCACATACATGCAGGCAATACACTCATACACATAAAATAAAAATAAATAAAATATTTAAAAATTATAAATTTGTCTGTAACATTTTAGATTTTAATGTGTATGGGTGTTATGCCTGCATGTGTGTAAATGCACCCATGTCGTGAAATGCCTGCGGAGGTCAGAAGAGGGTATCAGATTCTCCTGAAACTGGAGTTAAGAATGGTTTGCAGGGGCTGGAGAGATGGCTCAGTGGTTAAGAACACTGGTAGCTCCTGAAGAAGATCTGGGTTCGAATCCCAGCAGCCACATGGCAGCTAACAACTGTCCGTAATTCCAGTTCCAGGGGATCCAACAGCCTCTTCTGTCCTCTGTGGGCACTGCATGACACGGGTGCACTCACATACATGCAGGCAATACACTCATACACATAAAATAAAAACAAAATATTTTAAAGAAAAGAATGGTTTGTAGCTGTCATGTGGGTTCTGGGAATTGAACCCAGGTCCTCTGCAAGAGCAGTCAGTGCTCAGCAGTCAGTGCTGAGCCATCTCTCCTGCCCCCATTTAAATGAACTTAAGCCAGTTTTAAATTCAACCTTCCATAACTCCAGTTCCAGGGGAATCCGACTCCCTCTTCTGACCTCTGTGGGCACTGCACGACATGGGTGCACTTACACACATGTAGGCAATACACTCATACACATATAATAATAATAATAATAATTTAAAACTTCATTCAAATAGGATAAACACAATGGTTTTGGCACATGTGGTATTAGCTGCAAGTTAGTTGCCAATGTGAGGAACAGGCAGGCCCAATGCTTCATAGGAAAGGCTTGGTCTTGTCCAAAGTCTCCACGGATAGACGAAAGAATCACAACCATGTCCCCAAGAGTAAGGTCTTCAAATAGACATTAATAGACTCAAAAGCAAAACTGCCTTGATTTCCACTAGAACCCAGCATTGCATGTATAGAGGGCCAGGAGTGCTTACCCCAGAGTCACAGAGCACATGCAAAGACTGAAATGAAACAGAGCAGCTAAGCCTGGTGCTGACACGGTTGCTCTCCTGTGAGTCATGATTTCAAGTATTCCAGTTTTCCCAGTTCCAGCTGGGCCAAAGGGGAGTGAAATTTCAGTATCAACTCTGAACCTCCTTTGAGTTAAGACTGCAGAATGTCCAAGTCTTTCATTCAATGATGCAACTCTAAGTGCAAATTATTTATGGAGTTCTTTTATAGTTATTTTCTGGATAGGAAACATTTGGAGTTACTTTGTAGATGACTGCTAGCTATCCTGGGAACTGATAGTCTGAGAACCTTTACCAAGCTGCCCAATTATTGCCAAAAACCATAACAACAAAATGCAACTCAAAAACTTAAAAGGAGGTCAGGGACCCTGTCTCAGAAAACAGAAACAAAACGACAAAAAAACTTAAAAGGTGGACTGGCAAGATGGCTCAATGGGTAAAAGTACTTGTTGCCAAGCCTGAAGACTTGAGTTCTATTCCCAGGACCCACATGGTAGAAGCAGAGGACCAACTCCAGTAAGTTGTTCTCCAACCTCCACACACATATGACCCCTGCACTCATATATACACATATCATACATACATACATACACAATAAAGGAAAAAAAAAACTTAAAATGAGCAAAAATGAGTGTGTTTGGTGGCACACAACTGTAATCCCAACACTTGGGAGGCAGAGATAGGATTGTAAGTTCAGGGTCAGTCTGGGCTACAAACTAAGACCCTGTCTCAAAACAAAAAAAAAACAGCTGGACACGCAGGCACATGTTTGGGAGGCAGAGGAACTCTACATAGTGAGTTTCAGGCCAGATGGAACTAAAGGGAGACCCAGTCTCAAAAAACAAAAGGAAACAAAAGAAAAGACCAAAAAGACAGGAAGTAGTGGCACATTCCTGTATCCCAGAACTGGGAAGGTGCATGCAGAAGATCAAATGTTCAAAACCATCATTAGCTACATGGTGAGTTCCAGGCCAATATGGGCTGTGCTGAGACTTTGTGAGGCTAGAGATAGCTCAGTGGTTGAGAGCACTGGCTGCTCTTCCCCTCAGGAGGCTAACAACTGTCAGTAACTCCAGTTCCAGGGGATCTGATGTCCTCTTCTGGATTCTGGATTCCATGGGTACTGCCTGCACATGGTGCACTTACATGCAGGCCAAACACTTATACATAAAAAATTCAGCTGGGCATGGTGGCGCATACCTTTAATCCCAGCACTTGGGACAGAGGCAGGCAGATTTCTGTAAGTTCAACGCCAGCCTGGTCAACAAAGCAGGCCAGCTGGAGCTACGGGGAGACTGTGTCTCAAAAAGACACACACACAAAAAAAATTCTAGCCAGGCATGGTGGCACACACCTGTAGTCAAAGCCAGCCTGGTCTACATAGTAAGTTCCAGGACAGCTGGGGTACAGGGAGACCCTGTTTCAAAAAGACCAAAAAAAAATCTAAAAAGATAGGGGCTGGAGAGATGGCTCAGCAGTTAAGAAAACTGACTGTTCTTGCAGAAGACCCAGGTTCAAATCCAAGCACCAACATGGCAGTTAGCAACTGTCTGTAACTCCAGTTTCAGGGGACCAAGCAGCCTCTTCTGTCTTCCACTGGCACTACATGACACGGGGTGCACTTACCTACATACAGGCAATACATGCATATATGTAAAATTAAAAATAATTTTTTTTCTTAATTCTAAAAAGTTAAAATGAAAAAATGAGGGTTGGGGATTTAGTTCAGTGGTAGGCAAGCACAAAGCCCTGGATTTAGTCCTCAGCTTTGAGAACTAGGCGTGGTAGCCCACATCTATAATCTCAGCACTGAGGAGGATGATCACAAGTAGGTCAAAGTAAAAAAAAAGAACCAAAGGCACTCTTAATGGTTGTTCTTAGTTTTCTGGTCAACGTTATCGTAACAGTCATCTGTCATTTGCCAAGCAGACTACATCTTAGATTTGATCATACTGTACACACACAGATGGCAATTTGTTGCACACCTAGGCCAGAAGGCTCAGCCTTCTGCTTCTAGGCTACTCTACTGAATACCATGTACTCATACAGCAAGTACTCTGTTTTTAGACAACTGGAACTCTCTAAAGCATTATAACCTTCTTATTGTTTATTTTGCTTGCTTCTTTTTTTTTTTTTTTTTTTTTTCAGACAGGGTCTTAGGTCTCCCTGCAGCCCCAGCTGACCTAGAATTTGCTATGTAGACCAAGCTGGCTTCAACCTCACAGAGACCCACCTGCCTCTACATCCAGAGTGCTGGGATTAAAGGTGTGTACCACTGCATCTAGTTTGTTTTTGATACATGGTTTCACTTTCTAGCTCTGGCTGGCTTCCAACTGGAAATCCTCAACTTCCTGAATGCTGGGACCACAGGCATACAAAACCACACCCCTCTTCCACTATAATCTTGTGAGACCACAGTAAAATCTATGTCCATCACTAAAGGAAGATGCAATGCATAATACACACCTGAAAGCTGCCAGTGTCTAACTGCGCTGGAAACTATATGTTGTTTCAGTAATAATCTGCTACTGCCTTCAATCCTGGGGGTCAGTATTTGCAATAGCAAGCTCTGTAAAGTGAAAAAAAAGAACAAAAAGACAGCAGGAAACACTGAGATCACACACAAAAGCAATCCAATGGCTGGAGACGGAGATCAACTGGTAGAGTGCCTGCCTAGCATGCAGAAAGCTATGGGTTCAATTCCCAGCACCAAATAAAACCAAGTATGATAGAGTACACGTGAATCTCAGCATATGAGAGGTAGAAGCAGAAGGATCAGAAGTTCAAGGTCGTCCTCAGATGCAGTGTTGGAGGCAGTCTGGGCTTCATGAAACCCTATCTCAAAATGAAAAAAAAAAGCCTGGCATGGTAGCACGTCTTTAATCTAGCACTGGCGGGGGTGGGAGGGTGCGGACAACAACACGGGGACACGACATGAAGACAGACAGGCATATCTCTGTGAGATCAAAGCCAATCTGGTCTACATAACCAGTTCCAGGCCAGCTCAGGCCAGCTGGGGCAACAGGGAGACCCTATCTCAAGAACAAAACAAGAAGCAATAGAGACGAAAAATAAATGTTTTTTAATAGCTGTAGTAGTGCCTGAAATAAGAATAGACTGAGTGTTGTTTCAAAGTTTTAGGACAATACTAAAATGTCCAAAGTTACTGAGGACAGCAAACAAAACAATACACTATTATCTGACCCAACTAGACAAGGGTCACAGGAACTGCTCAAACCTGTGCTGCCACCACCAGACAAGGCCTCATTTCCAGGCACTCAAGGCTTTAACAGTATTTTAAGTGTTTTCTTCTCTAGAGTATTATTTTCCCATTTAGGCTTAGTGGTTTGTTTGTTGAGATAGGGTCCCAGGTAGCCCAGGCTGGCCTCAAACTCACTATGTGGTCAAGGGTGACTCTGAACTTGTCGTCTTCCTGCGTCCACTCACAAGTGCTGGATGACGGGGTGCCCCACTCCTACCAACTTGGGGTCTCTTTTTTTTTTTTTTTTGAGACAGGGTCTGGTTCTATGGCTTAGATTGGCCTCAAATTCAGTGATCCTCCTGCCTCAGCCTCCTGAATGCTGGGATTATAAACCAACAGAGCAAGTTTGTTTCTTATTTCGTGACAGGGCCCAAATCCCAGGCTGACCTCAAATTTTACTATGTAGCTGAGGATGACCTTGAAATCCTGACCTTTCCCTTCTAAATCCCAAGTACTGGAATTACAGGTATGCTCCATAACACTAGGCTTAGTTCTTGAGACCAATAATTCAATTTAGTATTTTTCTGCTCCATGTTGTACAAGGAAGGCCAAGAATGGGAAGCTTGTTATCAATAGGAAGACCTTCTCCATCTTCCAGGAGTGAGATCCCACCACCATCAAATGGGGTGATATTGGTGCTGAGTCTCTTGTTTCACTAACATGGAGGAGGTTGGCACCCACTTGATGGGTAGAGTCAGGTCAACATCTCTACTCCTTCTGCTTATACTACTATGTTTATGACAGATATAACCACAAGAAATACAACTCATTCAAGTGTCATAAAGCCTCCTGCACCCACTGCTTAGCCCTGCTAGCCAAGGCCATGCTATGACAACTTTGCCATCCTGGAGGCATGGAGGCACTCATCATAATCCAAGCCATCAGTATCACCTGGTCCCGTTTGGAAATTGTGATCCTGGGGCTGCCCAGAACATCATCCCTGAATCCACTAGCATTGCAATGATTATGGGCAAGGCCTTCCCAGAGCTGAACCAGAAGTTTACTGGCATGGCCTCCTGAATGTCCACCTCTAATGTATCTGTAGTACATCTGACTTGCCAGGTGGAGAAAAGCTGCCACCAAACTTGGTGACATCAAGGTGGTGAAGCAGGCTTCGGAGTGTCCTCTAAAGGGCATCCTGGGCTGCACTGAGCACCACGCTGTCTCCTGCAATTTTTTTTTTCTTTTTTTTGGTCTTTTTGATAAAGGGTCTCCCTGTAGCCCCATTTGGCCTGAAACTTGCTTGGTAGACCAGGCTGGCCTTGAATTCACAAAGATCTGCCTGCCTCTGTCTACCAAGTGCTGGGATGTCTCTGCAACTTCAACGGTGACACCTACTCTTCCACTTTTGATGCTGGGGCTGCCACAGTCCTCAAATAGCCATTTTGTCAAGCTTGTTTCCTGACCTAACAACTAACTTGGCTACTCTAACAGGGTAGTAAACCTTATGGTACACATGGCCTACAGGAAGTTTGAGTCCTAGACCACCCACTCCAGCAAAAGCCCAAGAGGAAGAGGGAGGCCCTTCCAGCCCCTGCTCAACTCTCCCCTCCTCACATTATCCATCCTAGGACCTGCTTCCCAAAAAAGGAGGAGAGTGAAGACAGTCTTACTGTCAGTTCCACTCTGGATCTACCAAAAAAACTAATAACTTTCAGCCACAGACTGAGGGGTCACACCAAGACCAAAGTTTTAGTCTCCAACTCACAATTCTCCAGCCTCAGCCTCCCAGTAAATGCTGAAATTGCAGGTGTATACCACCACAGCCTGCTTTAAAAAAAAAAAAAATATATATATATATATATATATATATATGGTCAAATACTCATTTGTAATATTTGCATTGCCCTGAAACTGACTTTTTGTGACCTTTTGAAGTTTTATATATCAAAACCTATTGTCAGGCTGAGATGAGGTCCCTGAAGCACAGCCTCCCCACCCAGATTCAACGAGTTTCTCCTATAACAAGTTACACTGCAACAGTAGCTACAAGGTATTCTGCGCAGACAAAAAAACTTCCTACAGCTCATTCTAAGCGACAATTACTATTCGGAAAACTCTGGAGTTTATTCTAAGGCAACTGGTCCATTGGAGCCAATTGTAAGGCTCCGCCAGACACTAGAGAATGTATCCTGGCATGGTGGGCCTCCCGGAGGTGCAAGCAGAAAGATCGGCGTTCAAGACCAACTCTGACCTATACAGTGAGTTCGAGCCCCCTCTCAAAACCAAAAACAAGCCTGGCATGGTAGCGCTGGCCTTTACTCCCAGCACTCGGGAGACAGAGGCAGGCGGATGTCACGGATCGAGGCCAGACTGGTCTACATTGCGAGTTCCAGGCCAGCTGGGACTACAGGGAGACCCTGTCTCAAAAATACAAAAAGAGAAAGCAAAGGGAAGAAACCCGTGACACCCTCGGCGGACTCTATTTTACACCGCCAGGGGCTGAGGGACAAAACGACACAAGCTCGAAGGCATGAAAAGCCAAGTCCCCGCGGGGCCCAAACCCGCCCTTCCCACCAGCTTCGCCCAGCGGACCGCCCAGGTGTACAGGCCCCCAGCGGCCCCGCCACCACCGCCGGCCTGGGAACCGCGCGGGTTACCTGCGACGCTCGACCTCCAACCGGAGTCCCGCGAACCACGTAAGGCCGCCTACTGCCATCCCGGACCAACAGGCTAGGGCCTCGGCCCGAGACTGGGCCCCACAGCCACCCGAGCCCCGGGCTTCGACGGAGTGCGCGCAGCAGCAGCAAAGCGGTCGCCATGCTGCCAAGGCAGCGCCTACGCATCGGGGCCCGCAGCCGGAGCGTCCGGGTTCTGTGGTGTCCTCCCCTGCGCATGCGCAATGATGGAGGCGGGACAGGGGCTGGTGGAGTGTCCGCAGCGCCTGCGCAGTCAGAGCCTCCTGGTGGCTAGGTTAGGCACTAAAGCACCCCCCACCCCCCCAAGTCCCTAGGTGGGCGGTGCCAACAGCCCAGCACGGCTCTCTGACACGGAAGACCTGAGCAAGCTAGGGTTCCCAGGTATTTTTCATGCCTCTGTTTTATTTCTTCTTCAAGCTACATTTTCCGGCGCCCGACAAATGAACACGTGATTCGGTTTTTACATCGTCTTCTTTGGGGTGTGATTTGATTCCTACTGGGGCCACTTTGTGTTACTTTTAACTTTTTAAAAAATTCTATTTATTATTTTTATTTTATGTGTACGCATGTACTGCCTGCATGTAAGTAAGTGCACCCCTGTCGTGCAGTGCCGGTGGAGGTCAGAAGAGGTTGTCGGATCCCCTGGGACTGGAGTTACCGACAGTTGTTAGCTGCTATATGGGTGCTGGGATTCGAACCTGGGTCTTCTTCAAGAACAACCAGTGTTCTTAACCGCTGAGCCATCTCTCCAGCCCCATAAAAATACTTTTTAAAATTACTTTTATTTTTTGTGTATGAGTGTATTGCCTGCATGTATGTAAGTGCACCTGTGTCATGAAATGCCCAAGGAGATCAGAAGAGGGAGTCGGATCCCCTGGAACTGGAGTTATGGGCGGTTATTAGACACCATGTAGGTGCTTGGAACTGAACCCAGGTCCTTTGCAAAAGCAGCCATTTAAGGACTGCTGAGCCGGGGCTGGAGAGATGGCTCAGTAGTTAAGAGCACTTAAGAACAAGCTCAAGCCCACCAATGGTTACCGATTACAGGAAGGCAACTTGTTTTCCTTCAATTGCAGGACCCCAAGAACTGAGTTCCAACTGCAGTAGAAAGTGCAGATGAAGAGGAAGAGCTCTTTGAAAGGAAATCACTAAACATCACTGCTCAATCTAGAGTGGAATATTTGTTCTACAGATCTTTACATTCATGTAGATAACCATCTCCTCACACTAGCGTACTTGTTTTCTCCTGAAGGCAGACTGACTCACTTTTGGAAGTAATTTCCAACCCTAGTGATTGACTGTAGCTCCTAGCCAGGCTTATATAAGGTCAAGGCAACATAGAAGTGTATGTTAGTAGTCATGGGAAATGAGGCACACCATCAAAAGTGAAACTGTGTGTGGTGATATACACCTGTAATCCAGGGTTGAGGAAGACAGAGGCAGGAGAATCAACAGTTCAAGGCCATCTTCAGCTACAAAGTGAGTTCAAGGCCAGCCTGGGCTCCCTGAGACCCTGTCTCAACAAACAAAAATGGCTGGAGAGATGGCTCAGCAGTTAATTATGTACACTGCTCTTGCAAAGGGCCTCAGTTTGGTTAGCACTCATGTCAGATGCCTCACAACCACCTATATCTCCAACTCTGAGGATCTGATGCCCTCTTCTGACCCCTGTGGGCATTGAATACATGTGCACAAACCCACACTCAGACATACACATATATACATAATTTTAAAGTAAAATCTTGGAGCTAGAGAGATGGCTCAGCAGTTAAGAATACTGGCTGCTGCTACAGAAGGCCTGGGTTAAGTTCCCAGCACCTGCAGTTCCAGGGATCTGACACCCTCTCTGACCCCTACAGGTGTTGCGCACAGACGGTGTGCTTAAATACAGGCAAGCAAAACATACACATAAAATTTAGCTGTGATTGGTGGCATACACCTTTAATCCCAGCACTCAGGAGGCAGAGCCTGGTCTACTTAGCCAGTTCCATGCCAAACAAACAAACAAAAAGTAAAATCTTGGGGCTGGAGAGATGACTCAGTGGTTAGGAGCACTGGCTGCTCTTGCAGAAGACCCAGGTTGGTTCCCAGCACCTAGATGGTGGCAAACAACTGTCCCAGGGGATCTGACACTCTCTTCTGACCTCTTCAGGCATTGCATGACACAGGTACATACACAAACATGCAGAGATAATACTCCCTCGTACACATAAAAAAAAGTAAAATCTTGAGCTGGGCATGATGGCACATGCCTTTAATCAATCCCAGCACCTGAGAGGCAAAGGCAGGTGGATCTTCTATGAGACTGAGGCCACCTTGATCTTCATAGAAAGTTCCAGGCCAGTCGGGACTACAAGGAGACCCTGTCTTTAAAATCTTCAAAAAAATTTCAATACAATGAAACAATAGATTTGAGAGACAAGAGGAAGTAGGAACTGGCAGTCCCATCCAATGGATAGCTGCATTCCTAGGCCCAGACAGAGTCAGCAGAGGGAGGTCCACTGAAGCTGGGAGTCTCCTGGTCTAGTGCCTGATGGCTTATTGCTGAGCAGTCTGGTAAGCAGAAAAAGCAGACTAAATGGACATGCCACAGAGGTGGGTTACAGTGCCCTTTACCAGCTTCTGCGTTTTTTTCTGTATTTCTCAAGAGTTTCTTTTGTGGGGGTAGAGGGTCTCCCTGTAGCTCTGGCTAGCCTAGAACTTGCTATATAGACCAGGCTGGCTTCAAACTCACAGAGATCCACCTGCCTCTGCTGCCTGAGTGCTGGGATTAAAGGCAGGCACCACCACACCCAGCTATTTCCCAGGTTTATAACAATGAGTAATTAAAACTAACATTTCTGAGTGCTGACTAGGTCCTGGCTCCATGCCAAACACTCTGACTTTATGTTCAAAACTCTTTTAAGTAATTTTTTTGAGACAAGAAATCTCACTACGTAGCCCTAGTTGGTCTAGAACTCACTATGTAGACCATTTGCTCTGTCACCCAAGTGCTGGGGTTAAAAACATGCACTATCATGCCTGGCTGAAGTTAATATTTTTAATGTCTCTATTTTACAGATTTAGAAAAATTAAAAGGACACTGCCAAAGAGCACAGTTAGGCCAGGTGCGGTAGCTCACACTTGTAATCCCAGAAATTTGGAGGCTGAGACAGGAGGATTGCCACAAGTTTAAGGTGAGCCTGTGCTAAATAGTGCATTCTAGGCCATGGGCTAGAAAGTGAGACTTTGTCTCAAAAATTACCAAACATGCCAGGCGTGGTGGCGCACGCCTGTAGTCCCAGCACTTGGGAGGCAAAGGCAGGCTGATCTCTGTGAGTTCAAGGCCAGCCTGGTCTACATAGTGAGTTCCAGGACAGCTGGGGCTACAGGGAGACCCTGTCTCAAAGAGACCAAAAAAAAAAAAAAAAATTACCAAACATGAGGGGCTAGAGATGGCTCAGAGGTTAAAGGTTTGCTCCTCTTGCAGGGGACCCAAATTTGATTTCCAGCACCCACTTCAGGTGGCTCACAACCACCTATGGCTGTAGCTCTTCTGGCCTCCAGAGGCAACTGAACCTGCATACACAGTATACAAACCCCACACAGATCTATGCCAAATACACATAATTAAAAATAACACTCCTAGCTGGACATGGTGGCCATATATTTAGACCCAGCACTCAGGAGGCAGAGGCAGGTGGATCTCTGTGAGTTCAAGAACAGCTTGGTCTACATAGTGAGTTCCAGGCCAGCTGGGGCTACAGCTGTCTCAAAAAGACAAAAAATTAAAAAATAGAGTCAAAACAAAGAAAAACCACTCCTATCACTCTGGAGGCAGAGACAGGCAGAGATCTGTGAGATCTGTGAGCTGTTTGAATCAGATAAATAGCTAATTTCAGTCTAGCTTGAGTTACACTGTGATCCGGTCTTTAAATAATTGTTCTAGCTGGGCATGGTTGGTGCATGCCTTTAATCCCACCGCTCAGGAGGCAGAGGCAGGCGGATCTCTATGAGTTTGAGGCCTGGTCTACATAGTGAGTTCCAGGCCAGCTGGGGCTACAGGGAGACCTTGTCTCAAAAAGACCAAATAATAATAATAATAATAAAATTAAAACTGGAAGGTAAAGAGATGGCTCATTGGTTAAGAGTAAGTGCTCTTGCAGAGACCCTTGGTTCAGTTCCCAACTCCCACATGGCAGTTCATAATCATCTGTAACTCCAGTTCCAGGGAATTGATGCCTCTGCAGACACCTGCACTGAAGTATGCATACCTACCCCCAGACCCAAAATTAAAAAGAATAATTAAAAACAAGGCCAGCTTGGTCCACATAGTGAATTCCAGTCTAGTCAAGGCTACACAATGAGAACCTGTCTCTAAAAAAGAAAACAACAAAAAATAAGGTAGGCAAGAACTCCTGAAAGTTATCCTCTGACCTTTGTGGCATGCTCACATCTGCACACAAACCAAAAACAAACACACATGTACACAGAGCACGGTTAAGATTGATGGCACAGTTCCAAAACTGGTTTGACTGCCTGGTCTGCATTCCACCCTGTGCCTTATAGGCTATAAGGTCACTGGTGTGACTTGTTTGTCCTCCCCTTCCCTAGGGAAGTGTTAAAAGTCTTGCTGGTGCTTATCAGTACTTCTGGAGGTTGGAGAAATATTTTATTGGTTGTATAGAAAGTTGCCGATAGGTCCAGGACTATCACTACTTTTACTACTGATTGCTTTTCCTATTGAGTCACAGTCTCACTTAAGTAGCCCTGGCTAGCCTGGAATTCACTTTGTAGACCAGGCTGGCCTCAGATTCACAGGGATCCACCTGTCTCTGCTTCCTGAGTACTGGGGTTAAATGTGTGTGCTATCATGCCTGGTGTTTCTCTTGTTCTTAAATCTTCCTTTATAATCAATTCATCCTTCCTGTTTTTCTTTACTATATATTTTTATTATATTGTGTGGGGGGGTATGGGTGCATACATGCCATGGTGCCCATGTGGAGGTCAGAGGGACAACTTGTGGGAGTTAGTTCTTTCCACCATATGGATCCCAAGGATGGAAATCAGATTGTCAGCCTGGGTGAAAAGTATCTCTACTTATTGAACCATCTTTCTGGCCCTTCTGTACTGTATTTTGTTTAAACACCAGATGGAGGGGCTGGGGATGTAGTTCAGTTGGTAGAGTTCCTACCTATGCTGCACAAAG